TGTTTTGTACAGTATATAATATGTATGGCCGCACTGCGAAATAAAATTCGCGCGTTTCGCTCAGTCGTGCACTGACGCTATTGGTTTATCGAATGATTTTGTAGTCATTCTGTAGTATCCGAAAAACCTTTTACTGTATTTTCGCAGCTCTTGATATTTAATATAGAAAAACATCATTTTAGATTACTAAAATGTCTCAGTAGATATAGTAGATTTATCATTTTAGACGTTTGTCTCAGTCGGGAACTGCATCAAACTTACAAAAATCGTACGAAATTTTTTTCGCAGTGCGTAATAAGTACAATTTCGATCACGGAATATAATACGCGAGAATAAAAATCGCGCGGTGATATATCGCAGTGCGGACAGGGCCTTATAGGAGTATCTGCACTGGCGGTTAAAAATTCACGCGGAAAAAATATCTGTGATTTGATGCAAATTGAACGCGCTGCGGCGCTGATTATTTCCGCGCGAATGTTTTGTACAGTATATAATATGTATGGCTATGGCCGCACTGCGAAATAAAATTCACGCGTTTCGCTCAGTCGTGCACCGACGCTATTGGTTTATCGAATGATTTTGTAGTCATTCTGTAATATCCGAAAAACTTTTTACTGTATTTTCGCAACTCTTGATATTTAATGTAGAAAAACATCATTTTAGATTACTAAAATGTCTCAGTAGATATAGTAGATTTATCATTTTAGACGTTTGTCTCAGTCGGGAACTGCATCAAACTGACAAAAATCGTACGAAATTTTATTCGCAGTGCGTAATAAGTACAATTTCGATCACGGAATATAATACGCGAGAATAAAAATCGCGCGGTGATATATCGCAGTGCGGACAGGGCCTAAGATTTGTTTGTTTTTTAGTCGACTGCACTTGTGATTAAGAAACGTTCATAATATGGGCTAGGGGATTCTGACAGATGTCGAGTAAGCCGCATTGCGTGCGAAGAACCGGGGGCTACAAAAGCTCGTCCGGCCGTTGCCCTCCGCCTAACTTATTTTTTTTATGTCTGCTTTGAAATTATCATCCTTTCCTATCAGGTATAGCGTTCTATACCATGCATTTTAGTTAATTGCTTGTCTTTTGTATAAAAAATGTTTTAAGTTTTATTCATTCGGAGAAGAACAACAAGTCATTCATAAAGGAGAATTAAGTAGTGACATTAATCTGGGTTTTGTGTTTTTGCAGTAAATCCGTTATTACATCAATTGGATTTGGATCTGTCAGAAGTATTTAAAATAGATAGTCATATATTTTGTTAAAAATAGTTTGTTATAATACTTTTGTATTTTTAAATAGATTGAAATTTAGTAAGATTTATTAAAACTGCTATCCTTGTTTCATGTTACGGGCTGTGAATCAATATGTAAAAACACTCATAGTCAATTTTTTTTCTAAGTCAAAGGAACGGGAAAAGCTCTAAAAAAACATGAAGCTAATGATTTTTGCTTCTAAGAATAAGAACTAGCAATGTCTTAAGTAATTGTGATAAAAATACCTATAATATTTATTCATTACTTCGTAGTTTCTCTATGAAAAATTCTATGTATTTCTTAATAGGTAACTATAAAATGCGATAATTATTAATTATGTAACTTGTCAATTGTCATTCTTGCGTGTTTCTTGTTTAATCTATGAGCAAGTTGTATTAAAATTGATCAACATAAATTAATTGTTTTCAATCTATACACGTCACTAACTACCTACATAATAAATGCAAAAGTGTATTTAATGGTGTATCCCTTTTTCACGTAAGAGAGTAACAAAAGATATACTACGTAGGCTACTTTCATCTTATCTAGTGGGATATTTTATTACAAAAAGTTTTTATGGCCGTACCTATACATTTACATATATACCTATATATACGTACAGTACCTACATAGTTTCTACTTATGTAGATATATATATATATATATATATATATATATATATATATATATATATATATATATACACTAGCGGCTCACCCTCGCTTCGCTCGGGTTCACCTCTAGAAAAGCACAAACAGATCTATCCCACGGGAACCGTTTATTTTTCCAGGATAAAAAGTAACCTGTTGTTAGACTTGCAATATAAGGTATCAGCATGCCAAATTTTACTAAATTAGGTGCATAAGTTGTTGTGTACTGAGCTGTATATGTTACTATAGTTTTTAACTATCCCACGGGAACCCTTTAATTTTCCGGAATGAAAAGTATCAAATTTCATTTGAATCCGTTCAATAGTTTCGAAGATTAGCCCGTACTAACAGACAAACAGACAGAGAAACAAAAAAATTGAAAATAATCTGGATTTGTTCTATTTTTCTCCTTACGGGATGTCAGAAGAGAACTGACTCGGTTTTTAGCATTTTTTTCTATCATCTATGTACAGACATTCGATCCCTACAGTTTTATTATTCATATATGTATATTCAGATAGAATAAATAACGTATAATAAAACAGTAATATATAATAATGAAAATAGTTATAGCGAGTATACCTTAGGAGATAGACATATACTATTGAGAACTTTTCTATAGACCTTTTTAAGACTTACAATTTTCTTGCACAACGTTTTGATCTATCTCTTAAGGTTGAACCAATGTTAGCCATATAAATTTCTAAGGACGGTTCGATAGAACCAGTTATTATGTTTTCCCGTGGGAATGAATAATTAGCCTGTCGTAAAAGGTATCCTAAATGTTGACCCGAGTACTGAGTTTTATCACTATACAAAATTAAGTTAAAATCGGTTGAGTACTTTTTGCGTGAAACGTGCACATCGATTTGACTAAGTTTTATTATAGGTATAGATAAGAATAAATATTGCGAGTGTAACTTAGGAGATAGACATATACTATTCAGAACTTTTCTGTAGGACTTTCAAGACCTACAATTTTAAGTATATTGTTTTGATGTATGTATGTCTTAAGGCTTAGCCAGCGGAAGGTTTCTAGGGAGGACTCGATAAAACCAGTTATTGTATTTTCCCTTGGGAAAGAAAGATTTTCTTGAAGCAAAAGGTAGGCAGTGGTATCCCAGTGGTAACACGCTCGCTTGAACCGAGTGAAGCAAGTAGTTCAAATCCCGGGTCTCGCACCTGATATTTTCATGTACGAATCATTTCTAACACAATTACCATTTGTCTTAACGATGAAGGAAATTTGGTACATTATTTTTCGCGTGAAACGCGCACACAATAACAGACAAACAGACATACAGGCAAACAGACAAACAGACATTTTTTTAATAACTGTTGTTTTGGGGTCTATGTTGTGTACATAATACGTTATAGATAAATAAAAACATCTATCCCACGGGAAAAGTACATTTTTCCGGGATAAAAAGTTACCTATTTGTTATTCTGATGTATGAACTATATTATTGTAAAGTTTCATCAAAATCCAATCAGTAGTTTTTGTGTACTAAGCTGTATAAGTTGTTATAGTTTTTTAATTATCCCACGGGAACTCTTTAATTTTCCGGGATGAAAAGTATCTAAGATGTTGCCTGGGGATATAAGGTACCACCATGCAAAGTTTCATTTAAATAGGTACAATAGATTCGGAGATTAGCCCGTACAAAGAGAAAAACAGACTAACAGCTCGCTCGGGTTCGTTCATACCTACGAATATGTTGTATTATCTCTTTAACCATTTGTCCAAATTATATGCAGTAAAAGGGAAAAGTCTTTTGTTTTAAACATTTTAGACGATAAATTTACTTATTTTGATAAGAATTCATAATTGTTGATAATATGACCAATAAACATGACCTACCGATTTAAATTATCTTTTTAATATAAACAACTACTTTTTGTGTTCGACCGTTTTTTCTCCGACTTACTTTGCAAATCCGACTACCACGAAAAAGCCTTTTCAGTTTTCGAATTAATATATAGCCTATGACACTCAGAAAGAACGTGGCTTTCTATTGGTAAAAGAATTTTGAAAAAAATCGGTTCAGTAGATCCAGAGATTACCCCCTACAACGTCACAAACTCACAAGATCACAAACTTTACCTCTTTATAATATTAGTATAGATATAAAGAAAATCGTTTTGCGTCCATATTCTTTTAGACAGTTGTGTGCTAGTTATTTTGATTTAAATCTTTTAGCAACGATAGGATTACACACTTTGCTAGTGCCGTATATAAAAATATTTATGTCAGTCATAATAAACGCTAAGCTTTGTTCCACTTCCCCGAATATAGACGATTACATTTATTGACTCATTACAAATTACTAACTTTTTATTTTTGAACAATTTACCGATCAATAATCATTAAAACGCATAAGACATTATCTACTTCGTTTATATTCACACGAACCATGGAGTCAAAGACTTGAATTTTTGGGATGTAATATATATTTGAGTTATATATTATATCAATTGTTTTTAAAATTTTGTTAGTCTGTTTTAACGCGTTTTACTCGATAATATGGGATGAATTTCAATGAAATTTTTGTAATGGAAAACGCCAAATAGTAGGTAGCTTGAAGCCTCGTAACTTCGCATTTCTATATAGAAGCGGGTTCATGTTTAGTGGTTATTGGCTAAATAAAATTGCTAACGCGCTTTTATACATGTATTATCACTTTGAGTGCATTTATTATGGGTGGTTGAACTACATAATACGATTCCTCATGTATAAAAGGGCTTTGAACTTTCATTCGTAATTCGTAAATAAATATTGTAAGACGTTTCGAGTATTAATGATTGGGTTCAGCTGCAGCTGTCGATTTTGAATGTCAATAACAATAAATGGGGAAAGCGGGCAGGTAGACATCCCGGGCCTTTGTGCGATCCAACATCAGTGGAAAAGAACTTGCGCCGTTAAAATTCGTATTCTGTTTTATACTTGATTCGGTTCGATTGTATGATATATATAGATATGATATTCGATTTCACTAAAATTTTAAGAGTACCTAGTGGATTTGTTTCTCTAATGAGTAGGTATTTGGAGTAAATAATATTAGATGACTATTGTAGGTACCCTTACCTATGTGTGCCAAATCGATGATAGGTATTTCGCAGCGCGAGAGCAAGGTCTCCTCTTGCACGGCCGCCATCGTCGCCGTCTGCTTGTGCCAATCTGCGATCGTCGTACACTCGGCCACCGATCTCTAGCCTTATCACTCGATTCCAGGTAAGTAATTAGCAATTAGCGATCGTGACACCGAACGATAATGAAGGATATGAATACGATACAGATAAGCACCCAGTACACAGTGTGAGACCGAACGTTAAAGTTTATTGAAATTATGAATGGTCTTTTGATTACCCCTAGTGTAGAAGCGTTCAGAACTCATTTGCATAACCTTGTAATTCCTACTCGAAGCGTTCTGCGATCTGACGTAGCAGCAATAAGCTATACTGACTTGACACATTAAAAATTGCTTTCTGTGGCTCTCTAACAGTAAGTATGCGTAGGAATCGTTGCTCCCGCGTGTGCGACCCGACGGCGTCGTGCGCCCCCCGTCCCGTGGTTAGCAAGTTTTGAATGTCTTTCGTTTAACAAACTGGCTCACCGTGTGCGATAAGCGTTACCCTGGCGTCCGATGGTAGCTCTCACTTGTATATCATCGCGAGACTTTCGCAACCGAGTGGCGTGTCGAAACAGTTTTGCCTTGAACAAAATTAGAGAAAGCGACGGGCACGTGTGATTTAAGCGACAATCGCGTCGAGACTGGCATAAAATAGCGCAGCACGGGATTCAAGCACTCACCAACTAGCGAGTTAACGACTGACTCATGCGGATTGCGGCCGCTCGCTCACTTCACATCTATTCACGCACACATGTACAAATGACACTCACAAAATCCTATACCGATAAAAATCGAACAGAAAGAGTCGGTACTTTATTTGTAATTGTAATACAAAGCGATGTTAAGTATCTCATGAGTCAGTCCAGCTTCATTTAATTTATCGTTTAGATTAGATTTCTTAAGTATCATTAATTTACACACATACACATTTTATTTAAAACAATGTTTTAACCATATGGTTGAAAAGGATATCCTGCCATGTGGTGAATAGCGCCATCTATATTTAGGAAAGAAAATCAATTATTTGCGTTAAAATAAATATAGACGTTTAATAATATAAAATGAATGAGATTTATTTATTTATATAGAGCAGGGTGAATTAATTTACAATAGCGTATGATCATTTGAGGCACCGTTCGAAGTAGGAGGAGCCGACGTATCCACCGCGCATCGCTCGCTGTACATGTTGTTCAAACAGTCTTCGGTTGCTTTGAAGTTCATCTGCGGCTTCTTTGTTTAATGGATCTTCAGGATTTGGTTCCTGCAATTAAATAATGCACTGAGAATTTTCTTTGCTTTGCATTAAGCCAATTATATTGCGAACATGTCTATATTATATATAAAAAAACATATAGTTTATTTATTCAATCTTTAATATCTCAAAAATAATAGTATGCCAAAAATATAATCTTCCTTGATAATGATCTAACATTACAAAAAAATGACTTTTTTTTTTCATTTTATTCAATTAAAAGTTTTTGTTTTGTTCTTTAGCAAGATTTATAGATTTGAATTAATTATATATACCAATTTGACATTTTAAATAAAACTATCTACCTATATACTTATTTGAATTAATTACATATGATTTAGCTATTTTAGACTATTATAATGTACTGACCAAGAATAAATATTGCAGTCCATATATAATGCTAAATATATCCTAAAATAAATAATTCATATCTCAAAAATAATAGTATGATAAAAATATAATTTACTTTCATAATTTTATCAGTACAACTAAACAACTGTTTAGTTGTACTGATAAAATTATTACTTATGATCTAGCTATTTTCGACTATTATAATGTACTAACCAAGAATAAATATTGTAATCCATATACTATAGAATTAACAGTGAGTACAGGTTTCCAGTCTTCTCTAAGTATATTCAAGCACACATTTCCTTCCAAATCTATATTAGGATGATATACTGCAGTCTCACATTTCACTTTGGGAGGTTCATGAGGATAGTTTGGTCCTACCTAAGAAGACATGTATATATTATTATTAAATTATGTATATAACATACAAATTTTCAATTGTTTTGTTATCATTATATGCATAGCTCCATCCATTTGATAAGATAAAAAAGTACTATTTAATCATAAAATACTATTCATATTTTAGGTTTTCTTCCTCAATGCAAAAATGAATAAAATATTGATTTACATTACTAATATTTTTTGTTAATATCAGTCATGTAAATAAATCAATATATAATATTTCTGTTTAGTTTATTTATGTGTTTTTGTGTCATAATCTGTTGTTAAAAAATTATAATACAAAAAATATATAAATAAACTACAAAGAAATATTTCGATAATTCTTCAATTTTAAAATTGACATAAAATTTATTTTTTATACAAGCTATATTATAAAGCTTGAATTTGTCCTTATATATGAAATGATAAAAAAATATTTCGATATGGCAATAATCAGAGTACTCTCATACAAATAAATAAGAGCATAAAATAACAATCTGTACTATCAACAAAATTTTGTAAAATCATCTTCCATAATTTTATTTTTTTGTTGAGTATCATCACTAAAAAGACAGGATTTTTTTAAATAGATCATTAAATAATTGGTTTTTCAAAAACAAGTCTTAAATTAAACAAGTCTTAAAACTATCCAATAAGTAAGTTTTAGAATATTTTTTATATTCTTCAAACAATATTTTTCTCAATTTATGTACACTACCTTACCTTAAAGCTAAAAATAAATCTTCCTCCTCTATAGAAGCCCTCGTCTGGACATATAATTAGCTTGAAATTTAGTAAATCATCTGGATCTGGAAATTCTGTACTACATGTCTTGGGTAAATTTAATTCATTCAAATCTGAAAGATGCAGAATGTCTCTTTCAATTCAAAGTGAATACAAATAATGTAAAAATAAAGTAAGGCAATATAAATGGTAATTTATTATGATACACATATTTAAAAAAGATAATTTATAATAATCTTTAACGAAAAAAATATTGTCTTTAATAATTTATACTGCATACTACCTTTTGTGATCCGCAATTGAGCTGCTGAAGCTTTTTTTTGTGAACCACCGGCCCTGGCAGAGCCTTCTTCATCTTTTTTTTGTTGTTTTAATGAAAAAAGTTTAATCATTGTACTAATATGACCCAAAGAAATTAGAAATTGATTTCGCTAAGATATATTTTGACAGACAGCTAAACTTCAATCAAACTTGTAAACTTCAAATTGAGCACAGATTAAAGTAAAAACATAAGTCAGATTGAGAGTTGTCAATATTGTAAACTCAAACTTCAAAGGCTAATTAAGCAAAATTAGATACCCATGAGCAGATTCCCTATCTGTAAATCGCAGAACTATCGTCGAGCAATAAAGCTATTACTCAGTTTTGTTATTCCTGGTCTGTACTACTTAGTACACAGTACATTATTTATAAGATATTATAAACAAAACATTTACGAAGACGCAATAAGTATATATAATAAATTATTTATGTCTTTGACTGCTACGTACAGTCACGCATAAATATATAACCATGGATAGTTCACCAATAATATCCGATTGCACGATTCTTTCATTAATATCTATTCTCACGCTGTTAGCAAAAATATGGCATATCGAAGCACTACTGCATCTGACTAGACACGCGATGCAAAAATATAGGATGCCACTTCGACTGCAAAGTGCAAAAATATATGACAAATTTATATGGGCAAAAAGTAGCACATCTCTTAGGCCTGTTGTTCACGACACGTTTTCTTAACCGTACGGCTAACACGCCCTACGGCTTTATTTGTTTTCTAAAAAAACATAGTTGTTTTCGTAATATGAATCATTTGTTACAATGTCAATTTAAATTCAACTTTATTGCATCATGATGAGGTATAAATATATTTGTTTCGATAAGTAAATCTTAATGTATATATAATTCTTCTGTACGTGTGTTTGTTAACCTACTCCTAAAGGGCTATACCGATTTGGATAAAATTTTATGTGTATATTTCAATGGGCTTCTGGATGGTTTAAAAACACAATTGAACCCGGTAGGTGGCGGTGCAGTCGGTGTGTACTAAATTTGCATAAAAGACTCTTTTTTCCGAGCAATAAATAAAAGAAATCTCTTAAAGAGATAAGTTATCCTTTGTTAACATTTTGGTATTTTATTTTGTATAACATATATTTTATGGTACATAAATAAATAAATAAATTTAAATTGTTGATTAAATAAAATAAAAATCGATGTGTGTATGTATAATTGCTGTTCTGGCGTGATTGAGTACTAAGCATCCATCCATCCAAACTTTCATATTTATATAGTGGACATACTCTTACTCCGCTCCGGTATGTTCCTTGGTACGTTTTAACAGTTAGTATGGATCGATCAGCACGCCAAATTTTATTAAAATCTGTCCAGTAGTTTTCTCGTGATGCATTCTCAGACAGATACAAAAATTCTACGAACGATAATAATGACTATTTCAATAAGATTCCAAAATTGGCGAAATCACAATCTTTATATGTAAGACTATGTGGACATCATTTAACGTAAGTGATTTCAAAACTCTTAAATCGTCTACAGGTGAATAATTTTTTTTTATTTTTTGTACTTTTTTACATATTAATTACAGAGTTTCATACAAACATTCATTCCACATTTTACCCCCTTATGGGATTGAATTTCGAAAAATGTCAAAACACGTGTTTATGTTTAATCGTATTGAAGAGCATTAATACCAAGTTTCAAGTAATTCTGATCATAAATAAATTCTTTGCACATTTAAACTTTATTACCCTCTTTTACCACTTTAAGTGACGAATTTCAAAAAAAATCAATCTTATTTATTATCTTAAAGCTAAATATCACTTTCTGTGTACTTCACATTAAGAATGACAGAATTTCATACAATGTTTAATCCCCTATTTTACTCACTAAGCGGTTGAATTTTAAAAAAAACCTTTCTTATCGAATACCGACATCAGGAATACGTCCTCAAAATTTCACGTTTCTACGACCAGCGGTTTAGGTCTGTGTGTTGATTCATTAGTCAGTCAGGACCACCACAGGATGCACTTGAACAGGTAAGATGCAAACGCAATAGAAGCAAAAACCAGGTACCAAAACGATATCATAATAAACTGCTGTGTACTGTGTGAAGTACTCATGCATGTGTAAATATGAAGTGCGTAAAAATGCGGCTGAAGCAACAGTGATGTTTTCTTCTTCATTAACATTGCTCCATGGTTGGAGGTGGCTATGCGAAGACTCACACGACATTTTAGGTGCGTTGCGTGCCTCGGTCTGTCTGTGAAGTAAAACGCGCGCCGCGCAGCGTCCGTGAGAACGGGTGACGCGGAATCGCCCGTGGCGCGTGCTTGTACGTACAAAATACAAATCGGCTTGGCGCGGCTCAATTCGCGATATCACGCGCCGTGAGAAGCCAGCAGATAATTTAGGAAAGTCTTTTAAAATTATTTGTATTGACATCTATTGGTCGGAATTGCGTCCTACGCCGATTTAAGTTATTCCTTATTACGCATGCAATCAATAATAATAATCGGTATACGTGCAGAAGTACAAGAAATTCGATAAAGATTAGGATTCGGTTAAAACACATTTACTTGCGTACAAATACGAAACGCAACTCATTTACATGCTCTTTGGCAAATGATAATATTATGTCATACGATTTTTGTATTCAGATATTTAATATTTAAGGAGGTTTTTCTTTAGCATTAGAAATAAATCATATTTTAGATTTTCGTTTCATTTTTAACAATATACTTAAAATATAACTCAGCCTAAATTCTACAAAAATGTAGGCAAGCCGCACAGCATCAATTCTCAAATAAATTGATCATAATTTTTAATACAACAGTTCTAAGTATAAAATCATTTCTTTTATAAAGTTACACATTAACGTCGTACAAAATAAATAAGATATACTATTCGTTTATAGGAGCATTAAGCAATATCGAAAAATGCATTTTTTCATAATCATTTTTTTCATAACTTGGCCATTGCAAATGAAATTAAGATTTTAATGGAATAATAAAAAAAATAGGTTTTTTTTATTTATATTTGGTTCCTAGTTATAAGGGCCCGAAAATGGGTTTCTCCATTAAAGTTGAAGTTATTTTCCTGTAAATATTTTTTTTGATATAATAAGTAAAATAATTAGTTTGAAGCTTGGCCGCTATTGAGTATACTCTGAACAGGTAAAAACCATTGTTCGAAAATCTGTTCCGAAAACTCAAAAGTCAAAACATATTTAGCACGCTTTCAGTGACAACTCCACCACTTCATGTCTTTTTGAATCATGGATGACAAATAAAATTTTGAATGTATTTTATAGTTGATAGCCTATTACTTAGTCTGTGATATTTTTGTTATCTGTAATATGCATTTTACAATTTACGATTTACGGCAAAGAGTATAGTTATAAACTGATTTACGGTTTGCTGATTCCAAGCTGATGCTCTAACAATCGTAAATAAAAAACTTTGTAGTTTTTTAAACTAAAATGTGATTATTTGTGATTTAAATAGTTGCAATACTTTGATAAGATTATAGTAAAAGTAAATATTAGTTGGTCAAGTTTAAACTGTACTTAATTTTTAAAATGTCTACTGAGGATGTTATTGAATTGGGTTCATCTGACGAGGAGGCCGAACCTGCTCCAAAGAAGGTAAGTAGCTATTATATATGGTATATCTTAATTATTTTAATAATTTTACTATGATTTATAAAGCAAATTGTTTAATTATAAATTACAGAGAAAAGCTATGCCTAATGCCATGGTTGTTATACCAAGTGAATGTTCTGGAGTAACGATAAAAGGAGTTAAATCAAGCTCATCTATAAAAAATGCAAACATTCAGCCAAAACCAGTAAGTTCTACGAATGATATGTCTATGGGATCAAAACCGATAATAGTTCGCAACATGAACAATAACTATAACGCTAATATTTTAAAGCAAAGGTCAAACTTGATCCCAGTTCACATACCTGTCATTAAAAATATTTCGAATGATATGAAGTGTCCTGTAGTACCTCGGCAAAAGCTGTCGATTAATCCAATGAGCTACATTCAGAATTTTAATAATAAAAACCAGCTTACTATTACAAAATCCAACCCAAATAAAAATTATACTGCTATGGTAATACGGGGACCAAAATTTCTAAATAATTTACCACCAGGTATTACTATAAAGCCTGTAACAAATCCTGGTGCATCTGGAACAAAAAGGAAGCAGGTTGTAAATAAACCAAAAACTCTTATGCCAAAAGTATCAACTGTTGAAATTGATGATGAGCCAGTAGAATCATCTACTGGTAATCCTCAATGGTACTTGAGGCCTGAAGAACAAAGAGATAATAATTCTTTTAATGAAGAAGTAGGTTCAGATGTAGTAGAAAAAAAAACAGAAATGTCAATGGAAGAACAAAATAATAAGGAGCCAGAAACTCAAAAATTTGTAGAAATCACAATAGAAGATAGTCCTGTCAAACAATTACATTCAAAACATAGTAATGAAATTGGTAAAGAATTAACTATTACTATTGATGATAGTCCAGTTAAACCTATTTTTAAAAATAATAATGATATTCATAGTGATAGTGAACAGTGTGGAGATAAAACACCCTTAAGTAAAAAGAAATTAGAATATCCAAAAGAAAATTATAAAGAGAAGCAAGTAGTAGAAATAGAAATTGATATTATGCAGCCTAACATCTATAGTTGTAATAATAATTCTAAAGAAGAAACAATTTGCACTAACAAATCAAACATTGAGAAATCTCCAATGGAAGTAAATATTGATTCTAAAAATGGTGCTAGTGATGTAAATAATAAAGACCAGACCACTTCATGTGAATTCCATCCAATTTATCAAAACTTTATAGATTTATGTTTTCAACTTGAAGATTCAGCTGACATGACTAAAATAGTTGAAAAGAAAATTAAGGCATACTATAAGCAATGTCCAAAGGAATATGTAGAATCTGAAGAGTTCATTGAAATGGTCTCTAGTAAAATAACTTCCATAAAAGCTAGTCCTGAAAAATTGTATTTATTTATTAAAGATATTGTCGATGAGTTGAATTTACAAAGGAAGATGACTAAGTCTCATAAACCAAAAAAGGAGGATCTGAATAAAGGTAAACATTAAATCTTGACAGTTTTTATATATGTAATATGTGATTAAATTATATTTATATTATTAACTATGTAGTTTATTTTTCATTTGAAATTATTATTATTATGAAAGACATAATACCTTATATTATCACCTGTACTGGCAGGAGAACTGACACATTTTTCACCTAAAGAATTGGCAGTTCCATTCAACGGGGGCAATGCAGCTACCATTCTTGCCACTATTTCATGTGAACATGACTTTTACAGTAATAACCAAGTGTTCATTTGTTTTGTTTATATAATTAAGTATATTACTAATTTTCTTTAGGTCACTTGGCAAACATTGTTCTGCTAAAATTTTGATATAAATTTGTTTATAGTTTCATATACTTTTTCAGTTCAGTTTTTAAAACTTTTAATTTTTTTTTATTCAAACTATTAATATGTTTAAAAAAGAACAGGCAGGCAGTGGTAGCCCAGTGGTAACGCGCTCGCTTGTAAAACCGAGTGATGCGGGTTCAAATCCCGGGTCTCGCACCTCTGATATTTTCATGTGCGAATCATTTCTAACATGATGACCACTTGCCTTACGGTGAAGGAAAACATCGTGAGGAAACCTGCATGTCTGAGAGAACCCAGCAAGTTTTCGAAAGACATGTGAAGTCCGCCAACCCGCACTTGGCCAGCGTGGTGGACTATGGCCTGATCCCCCTCGTATTGAAGGGAGGCCCGTGCCCAGCAGTGGGACGTTAAAAAGGGCTGAATACATACATACAATACAGTTAAGGTAAAATAGATTTCGTAGAAATTTAATTAATTTCTTAGAAATTTACCTGGAGGTGTTAAAATATGTATTTGAAATACAAATACATATTTTGTATTTCATATCATTTTCATTGTGAAACTTGTGTGTAGTTTTTTTCTGTCCTAAACTTCAGTATTTTATCTATGACATCCGTCCTTCTAGTCCTCCATCCCATTAATGTTAATTGTTTGTTGTTGTTTGTGTTTAGTCTATTTTGTAGATTTCTGTGTAAAAATATAAAAAGTAACAAAATGGTTGGTTGGTGTTTAATAGAGAAGTTTGTAGTTTATTTTTAAACCTTGCTGAAAATTGTTTAGAAAATAATACTTTCTTAGATTTACGTGAATATTTGACATTATAAAACTATCTTTTTGGATTATTTCGCAGATTTATTTTGATATTTGGTACCTGACGTTTTGAAGCTTTACAGCAATCATGGTCACTAAAGACTAAGGTTTTAGACATCTCGAAGGCATTATATACTTGTTTGACAGTGCCTATCCACAATTTTACAAAAATGATTTGAAAAATTCATAAATGGCACCAGAGTACTTGTTGTCCAGGAGAGAGTATTTGTTGACCCGCATAACCAGCTAACCTCATACCAAATTTTATAAAAATCCCTCCAAGTGGTTTTTCTGTAATGAGGTCACACACAGACAGACAGACCAAAATTCTAAAAATTATTGATATGGCCTATGTTTCTATAATAATTTCTATTTCAATAAGATTTTTCTAAAAATATTTAATTTACAGATTTGGCTTAGTTATAATTTTATTATATGTATAGATTAAAATATTCTTTTTTCTTTGTTACAGATTCATTGCATTGTGACACACAGGAAGATAATGAATATGATTATAAGAGACAAAGGCAGATAAGAAAGCTTGAGAAAACCATTAAAAAATTACATAGGGCAGTGCAAAAACTTGAAGAACAAGAAGTTGATTTTGAAGATGATGAAGATTCAGTTTATTTATTGACTGAGAGGTACATTAGTAAAACTATCATAATTATATTATTTCACTAGCAGAACCCGCGGCTTCGCTCGCGTTAAAACTACAAAAAAATCTTTGGCTTTATGTTTTAAGTTATTAATACAGAAACACCCCACTGCCCCGCATGCTCTGCGCCACTCTGCGCCCCTCTACCATACCGTGCAGGATTGGCGAAACTTTTTTACTATCCACTCGGATAGTAAAAAAGTTTCGCAGAAAATTCAAACCCCATTCCACCCACTTAGGGGTAGAAATTCAAAAAAAACCCTTTCTTAGTGGATACAAACACATCACAAAGAACACACCTCTAAATTTCATATGTCTATGACAACCGGTTTAGGCTGTGTATTGATATATTACCAAATTCTTAAGTTTTACATATTAGTATACTCTTACATTGCAGTTTTTGTATTTTTTCTCAGAAATGAGATATTTTACCAGGGTAAAATGTATCCTATATGTTGACCTGGATAACCAGCTATCATCATACCAAATTTCATCAAAATCCCTCCTGTGGGTTTACTGTTATGCGGTAACAAACAGACAGACAGACAAACACAAAAATTGTAAAAACTATAGGTTCAGCCTCTGTATCGATTATAAAGTCTATTTGAATAAGATTTTCCAAAAAATATTTAATGTATGGATTCTGCTAAGTTACAATTTTATTATATGTATAGATATTCATTGATTGAAACTTTAATGGTTAAATATATTTTTTAATGCTGAGTCATAAAAAAAATAAAATAAATTTTTGTCCAAAAAATAAAAATAAAATTTTTGGGGTGGACCACCTTTTCACTTAGGAGTATAAAAAATAGTCCTATTCTCAGACCTACTGAACATACACACAAAATTGCATCAGAATCTGTCAAGCTGTCTCGGAGGAGTTTTGTTACAAACACTGTGACACGAGAAATGTATATATTATAGAGATATAGATTTCAAGAGCCTTAGTCTGCATATCAATGAAATCTGTAACTATTATATGACACCCACTTTGCATAGGAACATGAAAAACGGGGATAATCTATGCTATTTTAGGTTTGGATAAATAATATATGGTTATATTTTGATAAAGACTTATATACTCATAATATCAAAAAGTCTTGTCCAATCAGTTCTTATCAAATGATGAGAGAGCTAGCTTGGTCAATAGTTAAAAAAATGGTTTTGGCTAGTTTTGTTAAATGAATAATTATTTTACACTTGTACTGTGTATTGATTTCAATTTTATTAGTAAAAATAATTTTTCAATATATATTTTTTAGGTATAAGGAGAGACTAATACGAGTCTATGAGAAGTTCTGTCAAATGATCAATACTAAAATGCCTTCAGAGCCTCGTCTTCACATAGAAGCAAGACCGGGCAGGCCCCCGGGACCAGCAAAAAAACTGGAAATGTGGATTAATAAAAAAGTGCCTATAGGGACTCCTTTACCCTTCCCGGACTTCCATGATGTGCTTCGTTGTGTTCGTGAGGCCAATAATCAAGATAAACTTGGTTGGAACGAAGTTGACATAATGGAGGAAGGTAATTTTACTGGTGCTAAGGCAGTGAGTGGTAGCCCAGTGGTAACGCGCTCGCTTAGGAAACCGAGTGAAGCGAGTTCAAATCCCGGGTCTCGCACCTCTGATATTTTCATGTGCGAATCATTTCCAACATGATTACCACTTGTCTTAACGGTGAAGGAAAACATCGTGAGGAAACCTGCATGTCTGAGAGAACCTAGCAAGTTTTCAAAAGACATGTGAAGTCTGCTAATCAGCAGTCGGCTAGCGTGGTGGACTATGGCTTGATCCCCTCGTATTCTCGTAAAGGAGGCCCGTGTCCACCAGTGGGACATTAAAAAGGGCTTAATACAATTTTACTTGTGAAAGTTCAAATCTGCATTTCTATATTCTTTACTCTCTAAACCAAGGTTCTCAAGTTGGCTTAATTTCCGGGTTAAAAAAATAAGCTAAAATGGACGACGGCGTCATCATTAACGTTTTTTTTTCGATGCAGTTCCTTCTTCATCTTCGTGACGTCGCTGTAGTATTTAAAAAAGGCCTGTTTTTTTTGAGTGTATGTTACGCGATATGTTTTATTCCATCCCAAGTGTTGTCCCATATAAGTTACAAATCTACACTAATACTTATAAAAAGAGGTAGTTTGTATTTTTATATGTAGGGGTTAATCTCCGAAATTAATGATCTGGTAAAAAAATCTTTCATGAAGCTTCTTATAAATTTTGTTTTTCACATCAGCAATTTTTTATTTGGATGAAAATGTGTTTACTATCAGAAATCATGATAACTTTAATTGAAGTCTAAAAACATTGCCATTGAGTTCCTTTACCGGCGTGCTATCCAAACATACAAACAGGATTAAGGCAATAAATTATATTATATTCCAATAACACTTTTCATTTAATTTTCTAGCTCAAGACTTATTTACGAGATGCGGTAAAAAACTTCAGAGACGTCGCCAAGAGAATGAATGGAGAATAGCGTCTTCTAGAGTAGCTCATCACGTCGACCCCGCGGAGAGTAGTGCAGATTTAAAGAAAAAGTTTGAAGAAAATAAAAAGATAGCTGCTATCAAAGAGTCTGAACTCCTTAATAAGTAAGTTTTCATCTAAAAAAATACTTTTTAACAGTCTAGTGTGCGACAACACGTTTGGTTCGTCGCTAGGTACGTTTTAAATAGATATAAATAGTTATTAGCCTGCGTTAGCCATATAAATTTTATTTTTTTGTAAATTTTTGTGATATTATAATATTTGTTATCCTATTTTGGACTAAGACAAATCCAAAAATTCAAATATCATAAAAATTGGTCCAGCCATTCTTGAGTTATAAATGGTGTAACTAACACGACTTATATGATATACATATATATATATATATATATATATATATATATATATATATATAAAATTAAAGTTATATATGTGTAGTGTATCAACTATCTGGTATCCACAACACAAGCACCGTAGCTTACCATGGAACTAGATGGTGCTGTGTGTTAATGTCTCAACAAATTTATTATATAATTTATTATTATCCCGGTCTTGTCCAGTTGTAAAGTGAACATAACTATTTGTATAGCTACATACAACCATATTTTTACTTCTATCTATCATATCATATTGTCCGAGTTCTGAAATGTCATTACATGCACATAAAAATTGTCAAAAGTCTTTATATTTTAATATAGTTTTATATATATTTATATTCCTTGTTTACTATTTTATTGAAGAATCCTTAATAGTTACAAATATTTTTATGATAATTCACATGGTTATTAATTACTTTTCAGATATGTTGAAAGGCAGAATCAAATGAACCTTCAGCCTGTAGAAATTGAGGATAAGGAAGCTGATGAGTCTCCAGTGGAGAGTGAAGAGGAGGATCTGGTAGAAGAAAAGAATTCGCTAGACGACAAGCAAAGAAGGAAAGTCACGCTAAAAAGATTGATAGAAGAAAGGAGCAAAAAGAATGAGGAAAAGAAAGATAACACACCATTAGAAAATGTAAATATTGATGAAACAAAGATGGCAGAATCTAAAACAACTGAAAAAAAAGTTACCACTAAAGACGATGAATCAAATAAAATGGATGTCGATATAGCAATAGATGTTAAACAGAACTATTTGATTGAAGAAAAACAAGATAAATTTGGAGTGGATGACAGTGATGATGTCGCGTCAGGTATAGACGAACTAAATTTACTATCTAAATTGTATTCAGAAAACGAATTGGATTCTTCACAAGATTGCTCTGATTCAGATGTATCCGTAATAACATTGGATACTTTAGGAACTGATAGCGAAAATGAAAATGTTCCATGGCTAATAAGTGAAGATGTTATAAGCATCGAAAATTCTAGTTACTCCGAAAGTGAATCTACAATGGACGGGCAGAACAAGAAAGCTTGTCCAACACCAATAGTCGAAGACATTAAAAATAAAGACACTGAATTAGAAATTTCTCTGATTGCTGACAATGAGAATGACACGAGAGAAGAAATCGTTGAAAATATTCTTTTAGCATCATCTGATGAGGAAAACACAAATCCAATACAAGAAAATATTGACTGTATTAATTTAAGAGACGACAGTTTATCTATATCGGAGACAATGCTGGTTGGTGAGACTTGTGAGAAAGAAAGTGTTGATAATGATGATTCTATTGTTTGTGTGAATGAAAACCCTTTACAAAGTATAAGCGAATCCACTTTTAATGCAAAAGACATTGAGGATAAATGTGTAGATGAAAACAGTGCCACAAGCTCAATAATTTCATTACAAAATAATGATGTCAGGGTCGATGAAGTTAAAGACCTTGTAGATGTTTGTACGTCTGATGCCAATTCCGTGGAAAGTGTTGATTTGCAGATTGAAGAAAATGTTCAAAAAGGTAGTCCAAAACAAATTTTGAATGTTAATAATGAGTCAAGTACAATAGTGCAAGACAGTGATGAGAAAGATAATAATAACAGCAATCAAAGTGCTAGTGTCTTTAATGATGCATAAATTGTTTTTTTTTTAATATCATGTGACTTATAGTTAATTGTTATTTTGACTTTTGGGCTATTGTGTGAGAAAAATTTACCTAAATACAGTCAAAATCTGTTATAACGACATCGAAGAGAATACTCATATTTATTTGTAGAAACCTATAGTCGTAACAACCGATGATGTTTGAATGTGTAGGTACATATAAATCCATAGACATTAACATTGATCAATAGAGTAATAGATACACAATCAGCGACAAAAAACGTCCTCACCGAATGAGCGGTCGTTTAAACGTGTGAGAGCGCTTTTAATTTTTTTTTGAAAACAACTTTAAGCATTGTATTTAAGGATCAATTTACATTGTTGTATATTTATTTCAACTGGGATAATTACCTTAACACAATTGGGTGACAGTTTTAAGAGAAATTTGGATTGGGATTGTGTCTCTAGTACTTTTTCGATGGTGATGGATATTAATTAATAAGAATAATATATTCTATTATAAATTATATATCTGTAATTTTAGTTTGGAACACTGCTGTCGTACGAACGATTTTTTTAGTTCACATTTGATTTTAATTTGTGTATCAATCATAACTTCCCTACATGTGAAACTGCATATTAAAAAGTACAAGCTTTTGTACACATTAACACACTGAGATCATTATTCAAAGTCAGCTCTGTAAATTGTTCTCTCTTTCTCCGTCTCTTTCTGACCGTCATTATCCTCTTGAACTTCTTGTACTATATCTTCAGTAGCTGGTGCATAAATTGCAATAGAGTTATGTACATCAATAAACTCCTCTGCAGTCGTAGATAAAGCAGGTCGTAATTTTTTTGCTAATTGAGCCAAAGATATTGTCCTCTTCATCATCATCTGTCACATCAACTGATGAAATTGTTAAGAAATATTTAAAACCTGTCTAAAGTTAGCTATAGTTTTTCGTGAAATTTTTCCCATGCTTCTGATATCTTCGAGATGGCATCAAGAACCTTAAAGTTTTTCTGGTCATTGCTGTCAAGGTTTTGTATTAACTTTAACATTTGCTTTCTTCTGTAATGAGATTTTAAACATCTTATTACACCTTGGTTTATATATTGCAGTACAGATGTAAATATTTTGGTAGTAATTACCATTGACCAAAAAAGTACTAGATACACAATCTCATGCAAAAGTTCTCTCACTCACTGTGTTTAGGTAATTATTCTAGTTGAAATAAATATACAATAATGTAATTTGAACCTTAAATACAACGCTTAAAGTTGTTTTCACAAAAAAAATTAAAAGCCTCATTAGTTGAGGATATTTTTTGTCGCTCATTGGTTGTCAGTCATATAGCATTCAGACGGGACTTATAATTTTGGTCAATACAACTGGTATGTTGCTCGAAACGATGTCGTCGTAAACGGTTTTAACTGTAATTGCTATATTAAATTTTGGTCTATTGTGTGGGAGATCTATCGAAACAGTCTAATTTACATGTTTCATTAATTGTAATACTAAGTTTATAATAGACATTGCCTGTGTGTGACATATGATATATCAAATAGAACATTATAATTTAAAATTACATATTATCTTAAATATTAGACTGTAGCTTTAAAGACTTAATAAACTATATAATAAATAATGCGGTAAAATGTTATTAAGAGCAGCTAAAAATAAAAGATCGTACTATAAATTTGTGGATTTGTTATACAATGTAAATGTCTCGACTGATTTTAGTGTAGTCTATTTCTTTTGGTTATATAGCATCTATTAAATAAAACTATCTTTTCGGATTATTTCGCGGATTTATATTGATTTTTGGTTCCCGACGTTTCGAATACTTTACAGTATCCATGGTCACGGGAGAGACTGAATGCTGTAAAGCATTCGAAACGTCGGGAACCAAAAATCAATATAAATCCGCGAAATAATCCGAAAAGATAGTTTTATTTAATAATGTCAAACATTCGCGTAAATCTAAGAAAGTATTATATAGCATCTATCAGAATTATATGAAATGTAAATTGTAGTTTAATTTATATTTTGACTGCAAAATATGCAACACATTTTTTTTTATTTCCGTCCTATCTCATAGTAGTTGAACATTAAAGGCATTATAATGGGGATTGATTTCCAAATTGAAAAAAGTATTTTTTATATGTATTTGTTCAGGTCTTCTATCTATAGGCCAAGTTTTTTTTATACAGGTTTTTATAGTTTGTGTGGGTGAGTAACAAGCATTCATTTCCACAAAATTGACATTTATTTATGAATTAAATTGTATTATAGGTAAGAAACAACTTTTTGAGCTGTCTCTTAATAAAATCTTTAAGAAAGTATGTATTTTGACTTTTGAGTTAACATAACTTAACGATAGGAAGTTTGCAGAGAGACAGAATCAGTGAGTGCTGCCATATTTTAAATTCTGAATACATATTAGTTCTCTTTCATACTAACGTAACTATTTTGCCTTACATTTTACACAGATGGAAATATAATTTATAATAATTTTATCACACTATCATCACTGTAAATGTGAAAGTTTGTGTATGTGTGTGTTTGTTACTTCTTCAGGTTAAAACAGCTAGTATAAAAGTACAGATAGTCTATGCTATAAGCTAGAGTGGACTGTGGAGTAACCCCATGGTTGTTGTGGTCTGCTTCGGCAGACCTGCCGTCGGGGCGTCGTGGTTGAGTGCGTAAGCGATACTGAGACGTCACTATGTGTAACTCAGGTCAGAGCCGGTTCAAATATTCAGTTCACAGTAGCTAGAGCCGTTGAGCTGCGGCTCAGTTGCTAGATAATCGGTTCACAGCTCAATATTACTTAATATGGCTCCGTGCATCACTTCAGCGCCACCTAACGTCAGCTATTTCGATGGACCCGAGCCGACGGACCTGTACTATAGTCTATAATCTATACTTTTTACAGACAGGTCAAATTAATTGTTTAATATTTTTTATTCTTATAATAATAATTAATTACACGCTCCGTGTTTTAAAATAATATTAGGATAAAATCTAAATATACTTTATTCAAATAGACTTTTACAAGCACTTTTGAATCGTCAATTTTACATTTTAAATTTTCAGTGTAGTTAGTTTGTGCGGAAGTTACCACCGTCTCGGAAGGCAGTTCTACTACTTAGTTTTATACAACAATAAACTAATATTAAGTAATAGTTTTATAGATTAAATATAAATAACTAGTTTTCGCCCGCGGCTCCGCTTGCGTGATACAGGAAACTACGGTAGTCGGTACCTACGATAATTAAAGTAGGTAGGTACTCTATGTCCTTTTCTGTCTGTATTTAATGATAATCGGGATTCAGGTGAATAGTTAAGGCGTGAAAGCGTAACAAACAAACAAACTCACTAGCATTTATAATAATTGCATGAAATTAGCATTCCCCTATAATTGTGTAAGAACGAAAAAATATGACTATAAAAACTTTTTTCGAAATGCTGCTTTATTACATACAAATATAATTTAGGTACATCATACATGTCATTTGTTTGAACAGAGTCATAAATTAGCTGTAAATCTATAGTTATAAGTACCCATATAACATCAATTGAGCTGAACGGTGAGCCGGTTCACAGCTCCGGTTCAAGCATATGACTCATGAGCTGACCTGCAGCTCATAAAAATTCATTGAGTTACCCATGTCTACTGAGACGCCCTATTAAGACGGGGTTCCATTGAGTTTTAGTGGGTAGTACTGGATTTGTCGGCGAGTTCCACACCTCGTGCCTAAATATATTTCCCAACGTTAAAAAATGCTATAAGCTACTGTAAACTGTTATTAATAAAATTGTCTCAAGGTGGCGCTACCTGTAAACTCAAAAATGGCCTAGGGCGCATTCGAGCGAAGCGAGGATAAGATCGCTAGTATAGAAATAATAAAAAAAAACAGATTTTTTTATAAAATATTTTTAAATATCTATTGCAAAAATATATCGTTTTCTTAACAGAGAAAGATAGTGTATTATTTTATGTATGAGTGAGCAAGACAAGCTATATGTAATGCGTAAATGCTATGCATTAAATATATTTTAATACGTCACGTGACCATTTCGATGACAACTTACATGAATTTACTCTCCATCCAAACCTGCCAGAAAGAGGTTTTCACTTCAAAAAAAAAACAACAATTCAGTCGTCACAACATTTATTTACAATATTTACAAAGATCCAAGCTTAAGTACATAATGTAGTTTTAGTTTATATTTAAGTAAAGCATATTGGGCCGGGGGTGAAGGAGAACTCGTGGTGCGCGTCGAGGAAGGATAGCGGCTGGAAATCACTGATGGGCAAACGTTCACTGCGAGACGTTTTGACTTCGAGAACTATTTCTCCTTTACCATCCTGAAATGGAGATATGAATTATAATATTTATTTTAAAATTTTGTATCTTGCTTTGCTTTTTTAAATATGTTTGTTTTTTTTTTTAATAAGTATTAATACGATTTTAAATTGCTTTTTTTTCTTTTTTTTAAATGGTCACATAATCTTGCTTTTAGGAAAGAAAAAGTTTTATAATGACTTTATGGATTTTAAAGGTCTACTTCGATAATTTGAAAGAGGACTAAATCAGTCCTCCTGAAGTTCCATAGGTCTTTAAGACGTCCTTGTGTTTGTTGTACCACGTTAGTACGCGCAAGCATTTTTGAAGTCTACACAAATATTCAATGGGAAGGCATTACTGTGATCATGAGGAGATTGTCGCAGGGTTAACTCTTGCTTGTTTAATTTAATACTTTAAATAACGTTTAAAGTTTAAATTAGTAGAATACTAAAACAAACTTGCAATAACCTCTATTCATTTATTTAAAGTTACCTTGCACTCGTCCCGTATTATTTGCGGCTCCTTAAATTCCACATTATTCTGTCCATACAACTTCACGCTGTTTGCTCTTATTAAATCAGCGGGGATGTCTGACCTATAAATATAATATATAATGATTAAATATCATTTAATTTTTCAATGTATCATACTTTTCTAGTACTGATCTGTTTGAATTTAGTATATCCTCTATCACGTATGATCGGAATTTTAAAATAATAAAGAGTAAATCAAAATAATATTTCTTTACTATGGTTAAAAATTAAATATTACCACAAAAAAAAATCAGAAAAATTTACTTCTAACTTTTAAAAAGTCACAAAAGGTAAGCAAATATCCTAGATACTAGCGTTTTCCTGCGGCTCCGCCCGCATAGTGCATTTATCACAAACATATACTAAAACCTCCGAAACACATCAAGCATCATATGGAATGAGTATTATTCCGATCGGTTCAGTAGTTATCGCAGTATAACCGAACAAAAAAATTGGCTCTCCATTTATTAGTATAGATTTAGACTTGTGAAAAGTTATCCACAAGAGTATCGCTTTCAGAAATCTCGGATTTCACTCGTTGAGATTTTCATATTTAATATACACGATATAACACGATGCCGGAAACCGTCATGAGGAAACCAGCACGACTTATAAAAACATAAATATAAGAAGACATGTCAAGTTGGCCAACTCGTAGTGTTAAGTTGGCCGGCTTGGTGGACTATTCTACTTCCAATCTCTTTGTATAATTATACCTTCTCTTGTGCTTAGGAGGTTCGTGGCTAGTATTAGGACGAGGTTTTAAAGCGTTTTTATTTTATTTTATAAAATTACCATCAACATAAAAAATTGTACCTTACTGTCTAATATTAGTTATGTGTAGACTAATTAAGTAGTTTAAATTACCTTTGTTGAACTAGAGTGTTGATGCAGGTGTAAGTGAAGTTTTGTTTGGCGCCATTCGACAGCAGCCTGAGGAAGCGAAGCTGTATGGCACCAGAGCCCGAGCTTTCATATGTTATCTGTAATTTGTTCCATTCTTAATAATATTGTAAATGCAACAGTATTTTTGTTAGTTTAGCCTTTTCCCAAGACCTATTAGAACAGCAGATCGATGTTAATCTGTTACTAACGTTTTGACACGCGTAGTTCAATTATGAATGACTATATCTTTAAAAGTTATAACCTAACTAACGACTCACCCTCGCTTCGCTCGGGTTTGTCCCTAGATACGTTTTAACGGTTAGTATGGAATAGATAGACTACCTATACCTATATATATATATATATATTATACGATATATAACCTATATTGTATATAATATAGTATATAAGCCTTCCTCAATAAACGGGCTATCTAATGCAAAAAGAATTTTTCGAATCGGATTAGTAGTTCCTGAGATTAGTTCAAACTATAGTACGGAGTTTCATCAAAATCTGTTTAGTATTTTTTGCGAAAAAGAATAACGTACATCCATACATACTTACAAAATTTCGCGTTTATAGGTATTATTATAAAACGGTAGGTTTTTTTGCATAGAGATAATTCATGAGTTGGATAATACGACATTTATTTGCACTTTTTATCCGCGTACCTACATCAAGTACTTTTAAAGTTACCTATGGATGGCTCAGTTTTCCATACGAATATTGATTTTCAATGCACTGTCTGAACATTAATTTGATAACAACAGGATAAATATATTTATACCGAAGGATGAACGTCAAAATTAATAATAATGAGATACGATTGCACATTTGCTTTGTGAAAATTATCTATTGGCAAGTCTTAAAACTTATGCCTTGCCTAGTTAGTGCCTAGACTAAGGAACTCTAAAACATCGCCTATATTAGTAACAATTTATTTTACATACGTATATTACTCACCCGATATCCATTATCTATTTGGGAGAACTTGTGACCTGAGTCGGTGTAAACTGTACTTTCTACGTTATCAGCGTACAGACACGTCGTGTATCCCTTGCAATATACTCGGATAGGACGCGACGTCCCACCTCGCGCGTCGACCCAGTAAAAACCTATTTGACATATGACAAAAAAACAGGTTTCTGATTAAATAAAAAAAACTGTATTAACAACTAAATAGCATGCCGTTGGTCAAATGTACATTTTATTTATTTGAATCAAATATTTAATATTTTTGCAGCAGTGGCAAAACGAGACGATTGATTTTTCTAATTTGATTTAACGAAACTGTTAAATATCTTTCAATCACTTATGTAGTATTAAATAGTGTCGATAGATTCATTCAGTTTCCTTATTGAAAGTTTTATTAGACGAAGAAATTTAACCAACTTGGTATACCTACCAGTTAAAGTCGTAGATTAGGGAAGGTATGTGTATATGTGTCGGCTCAGAGCCTGTCATGAGTCGTCGTAGAATGCGCCTAAGCGATTTTAAGCTGTGAGATACTATTTTTTTTAATAGTTGGTATATAGTTGAGTCTTACATTAGTACGCTGCTCATTTACGTCCAGGGAAGCTATATCATCATTACGATGAACGATCTCTATATTTGGCGATGAATTTGAGGTAAAAAAATTTGGTTTTCTGTAAAGTCGGTTTACGGACGATAATTTTACGTGATAACGTCATAAGAAAACATTGATGAAAAATTGCATACTTTTATGAATTGAATTGAATTATTATCATTATTTTATACAAAGTAAGAGTTAATTGAAAATTACAATTTTTTCGATAAATTAACATTTATTTGCACTCGTTAATTTAAATATTTTTTTACTTAAATTATACATATTAATTATAAGTAACAATGGGCTATTAACAACTTAGGCCGATCGTACCTCTCTATCGCTTGTTCCGCGCTCTCGCTTGCGTGCGTGATACTTTTTCGTGCGTGCAGCCGGCGTTCATCGATATATAAGACGTTATCACGTCAAAAAAGAAAAAAAAACTCCGTAGGCTTACCATCTGTCATATTAGCGTGTGAAGTACGTAAGTCCTTGCAGGAGAGCGCGGGATTGTGCCGCGAGCCGCGCGGCCGCCGCGCGTCTTGCAGCGCCGCGCGCGCCGCCACCACACCCGACATCACCTCGCGCGCCCATTCCGACTCCTCATCTACGTATAAGTATTTATTAATTTATTATTTATTAATTTACACACACACATACATATATATTATATTTATTATTATTACATACATCACATACATATACCAGTAACATACATACTATGGTGTATGTGTATTGTAATATTGCATTGTTGCAATTTAACCCAAAGTTGAAAAAAATAACATGTTACTTTTAATTTAATTATTTATTTTAAAAATCAGTGGGCCACCTCAAAATGTTGACTTATTTTTTTTTATTTCAATAATTTTGTTTTCTTTATAAGTTACAAATACTATCCATGCCAAGAAAAAAAAACAACGTTCTTATATACTGTAATTAAAAAGAAGGTAAAATCATAAATAAGTTAATATTTACATATAATATATAAACTTATGTAGTGTAGTTAGTTCAGTGTAGCAGTGGCGAAGGGTCAAATTTTTACGGAGGTAAACCGTTAATTTATTTACAACACTTGTTCTCGTCTTTTTTTGTATTTTTTTTATATTTACAGCTTTTTAGTTTTGGCAAGTTAGACGATTTTAGTTTTATTTAACAATTTCTTACCCTAAATTACTTTTAAACATATAAGTTACTTTTGTAATCGCTTCTTATATAAAAAAAAACCTATATTTTGATATCCCACTCGATGGATTCGAACGAAACATTTTTTTTCAAGACACACATTGGTGCCTAGGATCCACCATTTTGATTTTTAATGATATCTATATAACCTACACTTGCGTTATCAAGACGAATCGAATGACGTATGAATCATCAAAATCGATTAAGCCGTTTCGTAATTACGAGGGAACAAAATCGGACATACATAGATATTATATACATACAAACAGGTCAAACACATAACCCTCCCTTGGGCTTTGCCGAAGTTGGGTAAAAACACAAATGTTAATGTAAAGGAATTGGACGACTCTTATTCGGGATACTTATTTTAGATTATTAGATTATTTTGTTTTATAAAATGCAGGTATAGACTGAAATATGTAAATAAAAGCAAAATAAATTTCGTATTTAAATTTATTTTTATTTAAAATTTAACTTCGCGAATGACTGGCTTAGATAATTTTAAATGTGAGTGTAAAACTGCTGAATGGATTTTGATGAAATTATTAAGACACAATGGAGAAACTCTTGTATATTATAATAAAATAGAGTAACGAGAAATGAAGAAATAAATGTTACTTGACCGCCATACTTTATATACATTGTTACATATAAAGCTAGGGTTATCTTTAGTGGTTTCTGGCTAATTGACAACACGTGCGTGTCGAACTAGGTCATGTACATTTATATACATAGGTACACCGTAAAAATACATTAATAAATGTTAAAGTTTGTATATTTATTACTTTTTCACGATGTGATTTAGAATGGCTCAATGGATTGATTTGAAATTTAGATTAACACGGGTTATTTTTCAACGGCCTACCTACCGTTCAGCTAAGTCTGGTACATGAACCAGTTACCAGTAAATATGTACCTAATAACATTTTAATCGAGGCTATGTTTATACTTTGAGTTGAATTTGTTTTTTTTTCTAAATTTATAAGCTTATTGGTCCATTTAAGATTTACATACACATGTAAGTTTGTTATCTTTCAGTTTAAATAATCTGATTTAAAAACCAAATTTCTAAGATACGTGGTTGCGAACTCAGAAAACACATTATGATCTAAAAGTCCTACCTCGTCACGTCACGTACGTTAAAATAACATAAAGATTAAATCATTAAAGTATAAGGTAAAAACTTGATCCTTGTTTTGAATAAAAGTAAATATTTCTGTAGCTGACAAAATGTTTGTATAACGTTAAAAGATTTGCATACTGCACCAATTGTGTTATAAGCGTTTCAGACTTTAATATAAAAACTGTTATAATAGAACAAAGAAGTAATGTTTTAATAAATTCATGTTGTATGATAACTAACCTTCATCAAAACTATCATCAGTTGTAGTCTCTATAGAGTCATCTAGACTTCGTCGCCGTCTAGATACGAATAACTCAGGTGGTATTTGTGGGAGTGGTGCCGGTGGTCCAGGTGGTCCAGGAGGCCCAGGAGACCCTGGAAGGCCCGGTCGACCCTCAGGACCTGGGGACCCTTTTGGTCCAAGAGGACCCTCTGAGCCAGGAGTTCCGGGAGGACCCGTGTCACCTTTTGGACCAGATGGACCGACAGGACCCTAAGAATATTGGTTTTATTATCATTATGTTAAAATATTTTTATATAGTTAGTTATTAGGATATATGTAGATAGAATTATTTTAATAAATAAAGAAATATGGCAATTATAATAAATTATCTTATTATTAAATAAAAATTATTAGTTTATTTAAAATTTTACACATAGAGCCTCTTACCATATCTCCTTTGGGACCCATTGGTCCAATCGGACCCTGAGGGCCAAGTTTCCCCATTTCACCTTGATCCCCTTTTAATCCCATTGGTCCAGTTTCTCCTATATGTCCTTTCGGTCCTCTATTGCCCTTATCACCTTTCATTCCTTGAGGGCCAGAAGGGCCAGACGTCCCCGGTGCACCAGATGGCCCCATTATACCCGGTGTACCTACATCACCCTATTAAAATATTCAATTTATATAATAAGTCATTGTTTTTTATATAGAATCATAATAATAATTAGGTATTGGTAGTAGAAACAATCTATTTTTCTATTAAAATCAAATAATAATATAAGTAATGCACATTGAAAACGAGATACTTCATTATTACACTTTCGATAGATGGCGCTGTTCATGAACGTTGAAAAAAAGTAAGGATAACTAGTACCAGGGAGGTCATTTTTATAAATAAACTAGCATTGTCCGCGGCTCCGCCCGCGTTCAGATGATCAAAAACCAAATCCTTAAGTTTTACATATTAGTATACTCTTACATTGCAGTTTTTGTATATTTTCTCAGAAAAGATATTTTCCCGCGGTAAAAATTATCCTATATGTTGACCCGGATAACCACCAGCTATTACCATATCAAATTTCAACAAAATCCCTCTAGTGGTTTTTCTGTGATGCGGTAACAGACAGACAAAAATCCTAAAAACTATAGATTCGGCCTATGTATCGATAATAATGTGTATTTTCTAAAAAATATTTAATGTACAGATTCGGCTTAGTTACAATTTTATTATATGTATAGATAACAAGAACTATTTTAAAATTGTCAATATTCACCGGTGGACCAGGTAATCCACGTAATCCCCTTTGCCCCTCTGGCCCCTGTGGTCCAATAGCTCCCGCTGGTCCAACATCTCCCTGGGCACCTTTGGGGCCGGTATCGCCCTTTTCTCCAGGTGTCCCAGGACTACCTTGAGCACCTGCTGGACCTTCGGTACCCTGGAAATAAAAGGTTGTTTTAGACTACAACTATATGTTTATAACTTTAAAAGTATTTAACTCGGCAATTATTATTTAAATAAAATAACTGGACCTATCCAAACATAGTTCCATAAAAATCATCATAAGGTAGAGTGATCCAAAGAAGTACACTCAATGTTTTCATTCCTTAGTTACATAGGTATATAGATAACAGGCTCTTTAGTTTTATAACTTGTGTTTACCAATGTCTAGCGGAAATGACATACTTAATTAAGGTGTGAGATATAATTTAGCAAAAGTTATAATTGAAAGTATTTTCAACAACTGATTCGATACTTACGGGACTACCAGGCAAACCAGTTTCACCCGGCTTACCCACAGGTCCCATTGGTCCAGATAGTCCAGGTGGGCCAGGACTCCCGTCGGGCCCATCTGACCCCGGCTCTCCTTTTATACCTTGAGGACCTGGTTCACCTCTGTCTCCAGGGAAGCCAGCCGGACCTTGATCACCTTTAGGCCCTTCAGGCCCAGGTAGTCCTTTAGATCCTGGTTCTCCTTGTATCCCTGGTGGTCCGTCTTCTCCTTTCAGTCCAATCGGACCTCTAGGGCCCTACAAAATAATTTATAAATATAGTAGGGTTTGTAGTAGGTTTAAAATTATGTGTAAAGAAAAGATAATTGATTTTTTTATAAAGATTATTTTTATCTTTATAATGTTATATGATTTTATAATACCATTTTGCCTTCTACTCCTTGTGGTCCAGGCGGACCAGTAGCTCCTGGACTGCCAATTTCTCCATGTTCTCCTTCCGGGCCTCTAGGGCCTTGTTCCCCTAGGTTGCCCTTTGCACCTCTCCTACCAGTAGCTCCCGTTGGTCCAGCCGGACCAGGTGGACCTTTTTTCATAAATCATCTACTTAATAAAATTCTAGTAATATCTGACTGATAGACAACACCCAGCTTAAAATAAACCGTTAACTCATAAAGTATTAAAATTTGCCTAGAAGTTTTCTATATTAAGAAGATGATTGGAAAGATTTATGTCAATAAAGATTATTATTATTATGAACAAGAATAAAGGATTTTTGAAAAGTACTTTGACATAGGGGTTAAAACGAGATTGAAAGTTTGTATGGAAGCAAGTCCTTACATATGAAAGTTAGAAATATGGAAATTAAAGTTTTTTAGGCACATTTTTTGGGCTATATTAAATTTAAAGTACTATTTTATAATAAGTTAATACTTTTAAACATTGTATGTAGTTGCTTTCTAGGAAGAAATTTCCTTCCATATTGAAAGACGTATTTAGTAATTTCAAAATAAATAAATAAGAAAAGAAATACTGAATTATATATTACTTATCACAAGTGATTTCACAATCATTAACCTTTTGGCCCAATATCTCCTCTATCTCCTCTTCCTCCTTGTTCACCTTTTGGCCCTTCTGGCCCAGTTTTACCAGGTGGTCCAGGAGGACCTCTTAGTCCATCCATCCCAGGATTCCCTGGTGGCCCAGGATCTCCTTGAGGTCCCTTATCTCCAGGTAAGCCTACTGGGCCTGGTTCTCCTCGCAAACCTTGAATACCTGGTGCGCCAATCAGGCCCTGCAAATTGTTTGATGTTACTGTACTTCTTATTAAAGCTTTGATTATATGTTGTTGCCATTCAAACTATGTTTATCATCCTAAAATTGTATATTATGCAAGTAAAAAAAAAGCATGAGGGTATTATATACTACCTATGTAAAATTATTCTCACAAATTAATTACCTCAAATGACAACAGCATGAGATTGATGTTACATCACCAATTGATCAGATATCAACAGAACTATAATGTAGAGTGACAAAGCATAGTTATACTCGTATTGAACGATATACTCGGATACAAAAACACAGTTCTACAGAATTGAAAATAAAACAACATGAATGCAGTTCGTATCGCTTTAAACTTCACGACTCTTTTGAATACATGTACTGTGATGGTTCTATAGCTGATAAATAACATAACTTTTAAATATTGTACTAGAATTTATTTTGTTTGAATTAGCAAATCAAATGTATTAAAATGGCCACGGTGATGTATATTCATAATAAATTTACCAAAAAGACAAAAAAGAAATAATGTTATTTTCTATATTGCTATTAGTATTTTTATTATTTCATTTCTAACAACAAACAAAACATTTATACTTACAGGCTCCCCTGTAGCACCTTTGAATCCCTTCTCTCCAGGAGGGCCAGCCTCCCCTTTATCCCCATCTTCACCCGGAACTCCCACTGGACCTGGGGCTCCTGCCAGTCCCCTTGGTCCTGGTAAACCATCGCGACCAGCTGGACCTATATAGAAAAAAAATATTTGTTTTAGAAAGTTCTCTTGTCTTCCTAATAATTAATAGTTTAAGAGTTTAATATTTCAGAAGGGAAAACCAACTTATTAGGTTTTACTAAATTTTTTAATGATATTATTTATTAAAACCATTATGAAGTCGATATTCGTAATAATATGAGTATGATATTTAAATTATCTTGGCATCGTAACAATGGGCTAATCTATTAAAACTTTTTCTGTACAAACATTCTAAGAAGGTACCTGTTGATGAGGTGAGACTGTTTTTTTAATAAATGAAAAAAATAATAATATGCATACATAGTGTGTATTTATAGTAAACATTTTGTATTATAAGTTATGACATCTTAGAAAAAAAAACATATTTACCAACAGGTCCAGGTTCCCCTACTTCTCCTTTTTGCCCCCCGGGACCAGGTGATCCTCTTGGCCCCTCTCGGCCCATTGGGCCTTGCAAGCCCTCATGTCCAGCCTCACCCTGTTCCCCCTTATCCCCTCTAACTCCCGGAGGTCCCGGGGGACCCATATCACCTTTAGAGCCTGGTATGCCCTAAAATAAATGTAGAATATAAAGTAAGCTAATATTATTAAGGTAAAAGAAAAAGAAATTCTACATTTTTTTAGTTTACTTTAATTGATTTTTATTTAAATTAAAAATGTTTAAAAATGTTGTCTTATGTTACAAATGTTCATTTTAAATTCTTACCGGAGACCCGGGTAGGCCTGGTTCTCCACTAGGTCCTGATATACCCGGAGATCCAACAGGACCAGGTTTTCCTTCCGGTCCTGGTGGACCAGGTGGCCCTTCTTTACCCATTTCTCCAGGCATCCCAACTTCCCCTGGAGTTCCCGGTGTTCCTGAAGGACCTTGCAATCCAGGTGGACCAGGCTCGCCAACTGGACCTTGAGGACCCGTAAGCCCAATAGGACCAGTCACACCAGGTGACCCAGTTACTCCCTAAAAGTTGATGAGAATATAAAAAAAAATATGTCATTTATAATTCTAATACACTTTTAAAAGTAAATGAAAAAAAAATTCATTTGTTTATTTCTATTTATTTTTTAATCTTTTACTAGCTAATCAAACGATAAGTATAATTCTATTAGTTTTATTTTATTTATTACAATGCTTATTAAATATAAAAATAATATTGGAAAAATATAAATAACAGAATATTGACCGTTGGGCCTCGCTCTCCTGGTGTGCCTGGTAGCCCAGCTTTTCCATCAGTTCCTGGTGGTCCCATAGCTCCAGGGAAACCTCGCGGTCCCTCTAGACCCTGAGGTCCTCGTTCCCCAACAGACCCAGGAGGACCTGGTTGACCCGTATCACCCTTTGGGCCTGGCGGTCCATCAGATCCTCTACGACCACGTGGACCTCTGTAACCCTATAACATGAAAAGACTTTTTAAATAAAACAGACATATTTTAAAGAACAGATTTATATTGAAGACATTTAATAAATTGCCATTTAATTATTCGACTTCAGCAAAGAAAAAAAAATTGTTGAGAAATATTAGTAAATTACTTATAGAGTAAGATGCTAAAATAGTAACGTAAATTTTAAATATAATAATATTTCCTTACCCTTGGACCACTTTCTCCACGATCTCCAGGAATGCCGATCAAACCCTAAAAAGAAAAGTTTTAGTTAAATATTTGTGCTTTTAATATTATATGTATGTATTTAAGACTTTTTTTATTAAAATAATTTACCGCAACGCCTTTAGTGCCTCGTCGACCGCGTCTTCCAGAGGCTCCTTTATCCCCTTTCTCCCCTTGAGTCCCTGGATACCCAAGAGGACCCTGTGGACCAGTTGCTCCCTTTTCTCCTGCAGGTCCGATAGATCCTGTTTCTCCTCTTGGGCCTTCTACACCCTAAAATTACAATTATAAAATTGAATGTTGTGTCAGAAAAATCAGTACAATACAATAAATACTACGAGCATTGTATTGATTTTTCGGTACTCTTAAAATTTATATAACTAAGAATTTATAGATAGTATTAATTTTGTGTTTTGCCAAACAGTTTGTGGAAAATTCAAGAAGCAAGAATTTAACGTAAGCTTTTATATTCTTCCCATTCTACTAATATAGTAGGTAACTGCTAATCTATACTAATATTATAAAGAGGAAGATTTGATTTTTTTGTTTGTTTGTTTATACAGAATAGGCTCCGAAACTACTGAACTGATTTAGATAAAATTTTGTAAGAAGTTAGTTTGAGACCCTGGGTAGAACATAGGATATTTTTTATCCCGGAAATCATCCCTTAAGGGGTTGAAAATGGGGAAGAAATTTTGTATGGGGAATTAACTTAGGGACGAACCCGAGCGAAGCGAGGGTGAGTGGCTACTTGCTAGTGATACATAATGCCGTATTTAACTTGCATGTTTAATAATTCGAGTAGAAATTAACACGTATATACGTCATATATACGCTGGTCAATAGTTTTGGTTAGTCATAATTGAGAGTAACTTACTGATAAAATATTTGACCAAAAACGAATCATAACAATACGTGATAAAAAATTAAGTGTTATTTATTACAACATTATAATCATTTACCTTTTGCCCCTCAGGCCCTTCAATGCCAGGGGGGCCAGATTCACCTGGCAACCCGCGTTCTCCTTTTAGCCCTATTTCGCCTTTCTCGCCTTCGATTCCTGTAAAAATTTACATTTAGTTAATTCACTTAAATTCACACTACAGAATGTGTTTGACTGAATGAACTTATTATTTCTTTAGACTGTAATTGATTGCGATTTGAGTGAAATTTAGAGTGGAGATAGATTATATCTTTTTTAACGACGTACAAATTATCTACTACGCTAGTGAAGCTAGGGTTAAACACTATATATAATGACTATTAATATTCATTGTATTCTATGTACATAGAAATGTCGGAGATGAGTTTATAAAATACCTTTTATCCCTTTATCTCCTTTGTCACCCGGTAGTCCTCTTGGTCCGTCGTCCCCTTTTAACCCTCGAGGCCCCGGAAAACCTAACATGCCCTGTAAAATATGCGCCGAAAGTATGTCAGTAGCACAATATTTTAACCTCATATTATTTTCTCTGCTGTATAAATAAAGAATGATGATAAATTATAATGCTATTGTATATATTTACTTTATGAATAAAAGAAAGGAGATTCTAAACTCGTTGGCATTAAATGTATAATATAAACGATGTTTTTCGCTATTCGCTATTTAAAATAGATAACAAGTGATATTTACCTGTGGACCTGGAGAACCTACTTCTCCTGGCGAACCTTGCTGTCCAGGAGTGCCTGGAGTTCCAGGGGAACCTTCAGGGCCTGGAAGACCTGATATACCCGGTTTACCTTGTGGTCCCTAAAAAACAATGAAGGCCAATGAATTAAGTACAAGTTAAGAAATATTGTTAATTTCTAATAAAAACAAATTTGTTTTCTATCTTATTAGTGAGTGACTATTATAATTGTTATCATAAATTACCTGAATCCCTGGAGCCCCAATAGATCCTTGTGGTCCCGGTGACCCAGCAGGCCCCATTGGACCTGGTTGTCCTGGTGAACCCGGAGGACCCGGTTGCCCTGATGCACCCTTTGTGCCTTGTGGCCCTTCATTTCCTGGTATACCTGGGTAGCCGATCAAACCTGGAAACCCTCTAGGGCCCATGAATCCTCTTGGTCCCTATGGGATTGTATGAAATGCATATTTCATTTAAGGTTTCGTATTTTTCATGTTAAAATGACATGAACGATTTGATCATTAAAACAATAAATATAATTAAGTCAAAATATAATATAGAATAAATCGAATACAAAGTAAATTACGAGTATAATGTTAATTGCAAAAACAAAGTAGGTTATAATACAAACACATTATTATTATTATTATTTTAATGTTGATAATCACGTTTGTTTCGACTTCGAAAAGATCCTTTTTAGACATTTTACGGCAAAATGCATACTTTAACGAAATACACCAACTTTTATAGTCAGTGACTGTAGATTAAAATTGTGACCTATTTTTTACTTCTTCTTCATATTGTATAAAGAATTATTTTCAGAATTATTTACCTCGCTGTGCCCAAAAATAAGCGGAAGCCGCTTATTGAAGAAATAAAAAATATATATTTATATTCAATTTCAATATTAGTATATCGTCGTATATTAAATAAAATATGTATTATGAGATCCAGTTTACAGTATTTAGAAGTTGGTGATGTAATCTTTCAATGTATTAATTTCAACTTAATTACCAATTCACCAGCTAGTCCCGGTGGTCCAGGTGGCCCATCATCTCCTGGAGGGCCATCAATTCCCGGGGCTCCAGCCTCGCCTTGTTGACCTGGTGTTCCTCTCTCTCCTTTGTCCCCTGGTATGCCTGATTGACCAGGATAACCCTGATCACCTTTAGGACCAGAGGGTCCTGGTGATCCCCGTTCTCCATCTCGACCAGCATGCCCTCTTCGGCCTAGTCTACCTGGGGGGCCTTGGAGACCTCGAGGGCCAGGTGGTCCCTAAAACATAACATAACTTAAAATGCATATAAGATCAAGGAAGACAAAACTGTATTGAAGGTTACAACATATTACACATTACAGCAACACATTACAGGTTACTTATGTAAAATTTCTATTACAAAATAGTAAAATGCTTACTGGTTCTCCTTGGTCACCTTGTTCTCCTTTAGGCCCTTCAGGCCCAATCTCACCTTCTGGGCCAGATGGACCTGTAAGACCCATAGGACCTTCTGCACCTCGCATCGAAGCCTAAAAGAATATATTGTAAAAATAATAACTACAAAAATATTTAACTTTCATGTTGCTTCTTATCATTTTGTACTGTAACCATAAAATTATTTAAGTAAGCTATGACGTACCATATGTTGAGTTAATATCTGTCTCAGTGCTTCTGATTGAGCATCTGGGCCTTTCTCATTGCCTGGTTGTTGTAACTGAAAATTTTAAAGATCAGTTAGGTATTATATCGCTTATATATTTTATATTTATTTATTTATTATATATTTATTCTATTCAAAAAAAATGTAACAAAACTTACTGGTACTACAAACACGTGTCCAGGGGCTCCTGGAAATCCTTGTTGGCCCTCAGAGCCAGGTTTTCCTGGTTCGCCTTTCGGACCCCTTGGCCCTTGGGGGCCAGGGGGCCCAGGGTACCCGCGTGGACCCATATATACACCTGAACTTCCATAGTCGTAATACGTATCTGATGGGTCGTATCCTGATGATGCATTACCCTAAATAATCATACTAATATTATAAATTAGAAAATTTGTATGTATTTTCACTTATATGTAATATGTGTGAGTACTTAACATAATTATTATAATTGAACATAATTATTATTATAAATTATTATAATTGAACTTTAATATGACGTCTTGACTACTTTTTTGTTATTTTGATATTATTCATTTTGAGTGAAAAAAATGTTGTTATCAATTTATTAGGTTCTAGAATAAAAACAATTTTTAAAATGATCGCTTCAACATAAGCCATGTTACATATAAAATATGAAATGTAAGCAAACTTATATACCTACATTTCTATAACTCTACAAACAAACACACTATGTAAACAATTTATATAGAAACATAAAAACATTATACTCAATAGTTTTATGCACAAATCTTTACACGTTGCGTCTGACACTAGTTCCATACTATATCATAATTCTGAGATTGCAGTGGCACGTGACTTAATGCGTATCTTTTTTGAAACCTTAACACCCGTAATAATTTTACATGGTTATTTTAACTATTTCCCTAATGGATAATTCTATTAGTACACTTAATGAAATAGACAATACAATGATTGCCCATACACTACGCTGCGATACTGATGTCCTTAGAAATAATTTTCGCATTAAGCAACAGGATATCGTAATAGCAACACAAAATATCAGAAGCGTATACAGTAATTTTGATGATCTTATACTTACAATGGCAAGCCTAAAAGTAAGCCTGGATATTTTGGTTCTAACGGAGTGTAGACTAAGACCTAACCTACCATTACCATGCCTCAGTAACTATAACTCTTTTGCTACTACCCATCAGATAAATCAAAACGATGGTGTGGCTATATATGTTAAAAATAACATCACTGCTAATGTTAAGGAATTGAAATTGGTCCACGCATCTTGCTTACAAGTAGAAACTCTTAATACGACTATCTTGTGTATATACCGATCACCCTCTAATATTAATGCTGTGAATTTCATTGATTCTTTTAACTCACATCTATGCAGTATAAAGGCACATAAGAATATAGTAATAACAGGAGATTTGAATATAAACTTAATTTCAAAACAGTCTGAGGGTACTTATGAACGCAAAAACAGAATAAATTACCTTAATATGTTGTGTTCACATGGTTTATTATCTGGACACTTTATCCCTACAAGAGAAAACAGTTGTCTTGACCATTTTATGCTTAAGATCGAGAAGGAAATCGCGGTTCTTAATACAACTATTACCGATCATAACATGGTATTGTTATGTTTATCTAGGCATAAAATACATCAAATTAAATGTACAAAAAGTAAATTAATAACAGATTATAATAAAGCGCTTCTTTCTTTAGCTGAGAGAAATCTCCGAGAACTACTTCTTTGTGACAATCCAAACTTAATAATAGAAAGATTAATTGACAGTATACGCAAATCACTCCAAGAAAATACAACTATAAGAAATATTCCTAAAAACAGACGCATAATCAAACCCTGGATTACTCCTGGGATCCTACGCTGCATTAGAAATAGAAATAATATGTAAAGAAAATTAAAAAGTGATCCATTTAATGAAATTTTAAAATTAGTTACGAAAGGTACAGAAATTATGTGAATAATTTAATAAAAAAGCTTAAACGTAACTATGACAGACAACAGCTGGACGCATCTATAAAAAATTCTAAGAAACTCTGGTATAATGTTAAAAATATAACACATTTAAATAAAAAAAAAACTGACAATTCTCCTTTATTATACATAAGACCATCACCTGTAGAATCAGTAAATCATGTGAACACATTATTCTCTAATGTAGGTAAAGACCTAGCAGAACAAATATATAAGGATAATACATTGGAAAATAATTCTCGAACAAATTATACTCATTTGACGTCATTTGTTTTGTTGGACACTGAGGATATGGAAGTTCATGACACGATAATGTCTCTTAAATCTAATAGTGCTCCGGGATGGGATAATATACCATCTAGTTTCTTAAAATTAGCCACTAATGAAGTGACTCCCATCATAACTCATTTGGTTAACCTTTGTTTCAATAAGGGCGTTTTTCCTTCTTTACTAAAGCAAGCTATTATCACTCCTGTTTACAAGAGTGGTGCCAGAGACGATGTCAACAATTATAGGCCAATTTCGATTTTGCCCTGTATCTCTAAAATAGTAGAAAAACTAATTAACAAAAGATTAATATATTTTATGAATAAATTTAACATCTTATTTGATTCTCAGTTTGGCTTTAGGCAAGCAAAATCTACAGAGGATGCTGTTACAGCTTTAACTTCATTAATTGTTGAACAACTTGATGTAGGTAACAAAAGTCTTGCTGTCTTTTTAGATCTAAAAAAGGCTTTTGACACCGTCTCTGTCCCCATTCTCGTACAAAAGTTAGAAAATATTGGCATCAGAGGGACCCCTCTTTTACTTCTTAAAGATTATTTATGTAATCGTAAGCAGAAAGTAAAAATTGGACAACTGTTGAGCGAAGATTCATACATAACTTATGGCGTCCCACAAGGCAGCGTTTTGGGCCCGACTTTGTTTCTAATTTATATTAACGATTTGTGTACCTTAAACATAAACGGGGCCAGGATCTTTGCCTATGCTGATGATACGGCTATATTTTTCAATGGGCCTACGTGGGATACTGTTCATGAAGCTGCAGAAAGAGGACTCCGTGAAGTTGCCTGTTGGCTTAGAGCAAACCTGCTTTCACTTAACACTGAGAAGACAAATTACATTTGCTTTTCAAAAAATATCCGATCACAACCTTCATGTAACTTTACTATTCAGATTCATTCCTACAAAAGCACTACTTATCAAAACTGTAGCTGTCCTATAATCAACAAAGTAGCCACGACTAAATATCTAGGTATTATGGTTGACCAAAGACTTTCGTGGCACTCACATATTGAATTAGTTACTTCCAGAGTCAGAAAATTAATATGGATTTTCAGGAATTTAAGATATTCAGCTTCGAAAATACTATTAACTAAAATATATGTCGCATTAGCCCAGTCAGTGTTGTGTTACTGTATCTCAGTGTGGGGTGGAGCCTCTAAAGTGAAATTTCTGGAAGTAGAAAGAGCACAGAGGTCACTACTCAAAGTGATGTTCTTCAAATCATAAACATATCCTACTCATGAATTATACTCAGAAAGCAATATTCTATCCGTTAGACAATTATATATTTTATGGGTTGTTTTAAAAAGACATAAAAATTTGGTTATTGATTCTAACATAGTAGATAAAAGAAGAAATGGTGTTCTTATGCTGCCTAGGATATGCCTATGCCTAGGATCAAAACAGCTTTCGCTGCACGGCAGTACAAAATTCAGTCAGGACGCTTATATAATAAAATAAACAAAACCATAGAAATCTAACCTTTGAGTTATCACCACTGTAAATCAGTCTTAATACTAATTGGCTTAAGTCGAATAAATATGAGGATACAGAAATGCTTTTGGATCAATCTCCTGAATATGAAACACACACACACACACGCACACGCGCACGCGCACGCGCACGCACACGCACACGCACACGCACACGCACACGCACACGCACACGCACACACACACACACACACACACACACACACACAGACACACACACACACACACACACTATTTTACTAACAAATAATGTAAAACTTAATTTGCTATAACAAGTTACTTTTGATGTGGCTATGGAAGAGCGAGATTGTCTGTCACAGGTGTTTTGTACACTTAAAAGGCGATCTCAACCTTATTTGTAATTTGTAAACATTTTGTTAATGAATAATTTTTTTTTTTATGAAAATTATATTTTTAATTTTAAAAAGGAAAATTTACATAAACATTCCATTTTTTTTAATCTTCATGAAAGTGGGTGGGTAGGCCAAATTCTATGAAACTGAAATTGCTTATTTTATTAACAAATTATACTTAAAATATTCGATGAAATCTTGGGTTCGTTTTCTATAATTACATAGCTTTCATAATTAGCTGGAATAAAAAAACTAAAAAAAGGGTTCAAATATAATTTACTTACTAAAATAGATTTCATACCGAAAATGTGAATTTCAATAGCTTTTTTGCTTTCAAACATGCTCGTAGTTTAAATATTATAATATGAGACGTATGAAAAGTTTTGTAATAGAACTCGCAGAGTGATTTCTTTTAAAGTATGTCATCCACAATACAAACTACATAGCGCTATTGCACGTTTGATACGCTTAAGTTTTATTAATTGTAAAATTTGTACAATACGTGCAATAAAGTAGATATAATTTACTTTATTAGAAAGAAAAAGTTTAACTGAGAAACTTTAATGGCTTATAATTATTAAATTTTAATAAATAAATAAATGTTGGTACATTAACCCACAGCATCATCTAGTTCCATGGTAAGCTACGAGGCTTGTATTATGGATACCAGATAGTTGATAGTATCAACTTGATACACTACAGTTACACACATATAACTTTAAATACATACATATTATAAATATAAACACCCATGACTGGAGTACAAACATTCGTGTTCATCAACAAATTAATGTCTCCAGCTTGACTCTAACCCGCAACCGCTGGCACAGCAAGTGTGGTCACTACAAACTGAGCCAAACGTGTCGTTGAATAGATTTAATTTTGATGATGATTTACCTACCTTCCTATATTATGGCAATAGAAAATAGCTAATAAATATTTATGTCAGCCATAAAACTTTTGCAAAGAGTCTTTAGTCTTTACCTACTTAAAATTAAACCTTATCTATAACATTGTAATAATTTGTTCATCTAAAGTATTTTTTTTCGCAATAACACTAAAAAAAACGATATTATATAGAATATATCAAGCGATATATACCTTAATTAGGTGGTAAACGTGCCTAAGGTATCTTACCTCGCTGAAATCTGGCGGATGTGTGAGCCAATCCGTATCTTCGGTGGTCGTTATCGGCGTATAAGAAGATTCCGTAGTGGAGAGAGTAGAGACATCCTCATCGTCATCGATCCCACGCTTTGCCTAAACATTAATTTTCTTAAAAACTTTATTTGAGATGGGAAGGGTACGATTTTTTTTACTACGCAACAGGAATTTTTATTAGTTTCACTTGTAACTATGTATCTTTATAATACCTACTAATATGAAATAGATGGAAGTCGATTTTAACCTGCTTTAAATTGTCAAATCGATTTGAAATTTAGTAAGTACCTATGTGGTAAGTAGACTATAGGTACCTACCTCCCTCTCCTATTAGAATCCTTTCGATAAATATAGGTAGTATATTATAGAAAAGAAATACAAAAATATAAAAATGCCTACCGTCACGCTAGCTACTTCTGAAGATCCAGGTGAACTAAGTTGAATAGTGCCTGGCGTTGTAACAAACTCGGCTGTATCAGGAAATCTGCCGAAAATGCTGTTTTCATCTGTTTTCAGAATACATAAAACTTGATCAACAAGTGCTTATCCGTCCGAATATCACTTAGGTTTATAAGAAAAAAATTCTCAAATCATATTTGTCTGAAATTATACTTACATAATATAAAATCTATATGGATAATTGCATATACATATATGTAGATGTACGTAAATAAAAATGACTCTACTATTTCAAATGTAAATAGATTTTATAGACCGGGGGAATCTAGGTATATAGGTACAAATTTTAATAAAGGTGTGTTCTATGTAAAAATCGAATCCACGATCTACGACTTAGTACAATGAAATAGTTAACAAAATTCGCTGCAACAATGCACCCGAATAGGTTATGCTATTAATAGAAATCATTATTTTACTTTATTATATGACTATTTCGATCCATTGGACTTAATGCATATGAGCAGTGACAAACAAAATTAATATAAATTATTTAAGAAAAAATACTAAAATCCACAGTCATATTATGTAGCCATACATATTAAATAAAAATATAAATAAATATCTAGACTATCTTCTGTTTGCAATTTTACGTGTAACATTTCATATATAATGTACATATGTATATGTATAATGATACATTTGTGATCTATTAGTATGGAAATGCTAAAGCGGTAATTTAAACAACATACAGCGGGACAGTTAATAAATAATATTAATAAATATGTCAGGACATTAACACACGACACCATCTAGTTCCATGGTAAGCTACGAGGCTTGTGTTATGTATACCAGATAGTTGATACCTTATACATATATAACTTTAAATACATACATTATATAAATATAAACACCCATGACTGGAGTACAAACATTCGTGCACATCACACAAATGAATGCCCCCAGCGGGACTCGAACCCGCGACCGCTGGCATGGCAAGTTGGGTCACTATAAACTGAGCCAAACGTGTCGTCAAATTATACATTATGTAAGTAATTTTAGCTAATGACTTTAGTTTAAGCTTTCAATACCCCTTACCGGCGTCAGTAGGAATAGGATAAGGCGCTGTATACCCGTAACTTTCCGGCACTTGCCAATATGGCCTCGCCGTCGACAAATCTCTACTTGCTGTTGCCCATAAATTGTCCGATTCATTTCTCTCATTAAAGAACCTATTCGGTCCATATTCATATGGTTCATTTCCAGGTAATTCCGTTATTGGACGTGTATCGTAATCAAGTTCTTTATCATAGTCATGATTTCCCGAAACCAATTCTTGGGAATAATCGTACCCAAATGAGCTACAATCAGGTGCTATAGTTATACACATGTCATACGCAAGGTCCGGTTGATTAGCGAACTGGAGCAATTCAATATCTCCCTGAAAACAATTGATGAATCAAGGCTTTTAATACCGCATGAATTCGTCACGTCAAAGGAATTTAAATGGAGGCAAATGAATCTGATGTAGCCTATTAATGATGAGATAGGTTTGAGGAATTATGTTTTGAATTGTGTCTAGATGAGTTATGGTATTTAGAGGTTGGTAGAACGTTTTAGAAAATGGTTTTTACTTCCCAATTTTCGTTTGTCTTAATTGATCTATTTAAGTTTGTAGTATAATATTATAATCAGATAAAAGATAAAATTACGCTTTGTTATGAAAGGGCGGGGTCTCCTAATACAGGCAAATTATTTGCTTATAAAAACTTTTTAACAAAAAAATAAAAACCGACTTCAAACAAAAAGCACTAAAAAGTAATAAATAACTGATTGGTAGTTTTCATTTACTATACATACCTAATCAAATATTTTCGAAGTCGGTGTGCTTTGCTTTGTATGGGCTGGCACCGATTTCGAAAATATTGGATTAGGTATGTATTTAATAGGTAGGCTTTAATTACTTAGCCAAAGCACACCGACTTCGAAAATATTTGATTAGGTATGTATAGTAAATGAAAACTACCAATCAGTTATTTATTACTTTTTAGTGCTTTTTGTTTGAAGTCGGTTTTTATTTTTTTGTTAAAAAGTTTTTATTTTTCCCTTTTTAGTGTAGACAGTAGTAGAAAAGTAAGGATTCTAACGTGTTAGGCTTGTCAAATCAAACAAAATAAGCCCAAACTCAAAGTATCTACTGTTAGCCGTTGAAGAATTTCACCATCCACCTTCTGGCCTTGCCATCAGATCAGGTCAACAACACCGAACTATGTACTATCAACGGAAATAGAAATACTTGCAAAGTTTCAAGTCAATATGACAATTAGAAGTAGGTTAAATTCATCATTCGTTGTTTTTCCACCCTTAGGGGTGGTATTTTTTTTTGAAATTTAAATGGGACCAATCTGGAAGTATACCCTTTCAAACGACACAAAAATTGTCCAAATCGGTTAATAAATGACGAAGTTCTGAGGTAACAAACATAAAAAAAAAAAAAAAAAAACATACAGTCGAATTGAGAACCTCCTCCTTTTTGAAGTCGGTTGAAAAGGGGATCTCAACCACAAAATTTGAAATTTTGATTTGATTGGAAATAAATAAATAAATAAATTTTAAATTAATCAATAAATTATATGTTAATTTTTATTTCAAATGTAAATGTATATTGTTATCTAATTTATAGTTTTTATTGTTGTGTTATAATAAATTGTTAAATTGTTAAATCTAAGAAAGTTATTATAATTAATCATTCCATATAATTTAAAATGACGTTTGATTCTAAAGTTGAGTTCAGTTTTAAAATAATTTAAGAGTAGCTAATTGGCTTAAAATAGTATCTTATAATTTAAAAAGGTTACTTGAGATAGCGCTTATTCAACACAGAGTGTTTAAAATTTGATTTACAATCATTGATAGTATACGCACTAAAATATCAACTGAACTTTAAAACCTTCTTTTTTAGACATTTAAAACCTATGATATTTATAATATATTTCAAGTTCAATTAGATTACATATTTTGTTCCAAATTGTAAATTGACAACATAACAGACTCATTTTTTAACCACCTTTTCAGTCATAGCGTGATATTAGATTAAAGCATATTATCTTTATTAATAAACTAGCGACTAAGTACTCGTCTGTAGGTACGTTTTAACAGTTAATATGGAATAGATGGGACTACCTATATATTATATGATATATAGGCTATAACTTTCCTCAATAATCGGGCTATCTAATGCAAAAAGAGCTTTTGAAATTAAATTAGTAGTTCCTGAGATTAGCGCGTTCAAACAAACAAACTCTCTGCATAATATTAGTATAGAAAGGCTACAAAATGTAAAAATAGTAAAAATCATTTAAAAATAAAACGCAAGGGTTAAAGTTCCCGAGATAAGCGCAGTAAACCAACAAGAAAGCTTTTCAGCTTTATAATATACAAATATACTTATATGTAGTATATATTAGATAATATCTTTTATTCATAATATATTGTACATAAAAATATTCTTCACAGGATTACAGTATATTTTACCTCATAATATTGGTCAGGCGTGACTTGAGTGCCGACGACTAAAGCACCGGCTAAATTAAAAGTGCTTCCAGGGTGGCGTCGTAAGGGCAAGGTTCCTTTGATTTGGCAATCAACGATCAATGAGACTGAATCTCCTTTGATGCTAACTCCTAATCTGTGCCATCTAAACAAGAAATTATAGCGTTAAATCGAGATATACACCTACGTTGTGTCTTTTTTATACAGTTTCTTTATTAATAGAATTTAAGGGACGCAACTAAAGCATCAAATATTTTCAATAGTTTTATTAAAAAAATTAATATTATAAACGCGAAAATTTGTAAGAATGTCTGTATGGATGTATGTTTGTTACTCTTTCACGCCAGAATGGCTGAACGGATCTGGATGAAATTTGGCACAGAGATAGATTATAGTCTGGAATAACACATAGGCACTTTTTATCCCGGAAAAATATATGGTTCCCGAGGGATTTAATCAAAAGTATTTACTATTTACACTACAGAAAATAAGAAAATTTATGCAAAACGTGTATCTAATATCTATAGTATTTATTTTCGCTTTAAACTACCAATTAAAACTTATATTGAAAATTAAATATTTAATAAAAGTATACATATTTTTATAACCCACACTATTTTATTAGTCATTAGTGAATCAACAGTAGAAAAAAAACATACATTTTTTAAAAGTATGAAATAAAACACCTTTAGGTAGGTACGTACATATAAAAGATCACTATTATTTGTACTATTATTATGCACTAGCGACTCACCCTCGCTTTGCTTGGGTTCGTCCGTAGGTTGATTCCACATATAAACTTTCATCTCCATTTTCATTCCTTAAGGGATGATTTCCGGGATAAAAACTATCCTATGACCAGGGTCTCAAAATATCTTCTTACCAAATTTTATCTAAATCGGTCCAGTAGTATCGGAGCTTATTCGATATAAACAAACAAACAAAAAAAATATTTTCTCTTTATAATATTAGTATAGATAAAGATTACGTTATGTATATATATTATGTACTTAAAATTTAACATAGATAATGAACTTAAATGACTCTTTTTATTTACATATTTAGTTTTTTGAATAGAGATTGGTTAATAAAATGCTTTGATCAAATATTTAAAACGTTACATTTGTAAAAAATATTGTTCAATATCCATACCTTCCATCAGCTATGTTCACTCGAAACGTGAGGAGTTCGTGGTCTTCAGGATCTCCTCGAGTGTCTTCGTAATACAATTCTATTAATTCACCAACAACAAGCTGTAATTGTTCATCGCCGGCATCCGAATATAATACGAAGAGTGTATTTTGTTCCGCACCTGGGTCACAGAATCATATTTATTGTTTACTTATGTACAACTACTTATGTAAATTAGGAAATATATTTGTTTTTTCACAATCTCATTTCGTTCCATTTTCTCCAAAATCGGAAAAATACGTGGGTTGAGTTCATTCCTCCTTATAGCAATATAAATAACATCAAGCAAATAGCAATCTAAACAACTATTCTGTACAGGATTGAATCTATGACCCTCGACGAGGTAATGCCAGCAACGAGACGTTACATTGATAACTATAAATTTTACTCACCAGGTAGTCGTACTACAGCCAATATCGAGAAGTCTTCAGGAAAAGTGTTATAAAATATGCCAGCGGCTAGTTGGTGTAAAGTAGCGTTTTCATTGAGGGAGTAGGCTGTATACTCCGTTTCATCGACGGTAGGCAGTTGACATCTCCCTGGCACTCGGAATACCCCCTCTGGCAGATCATTTTGTACCACGGATAGCACGTCGAACACCTCGAAATTTTCTAAGGATCCTATAAAAATACGAAAACTTTATTATTTTTGAAGATGCCACCACACTCAATACCACCATTCATAATAATTTATTTAATTTTACATTGTGTAAATAGTATAAAGTTAAAAATCTAATTTTTAAAATGTTTGTAAATTCAAAACAATATAAACATTATATATTTATTATTTACCTAATATCTTCTTATGCAAAGTTTGAAAACAAATAGGGAAAAATTAATCCAATATATAATTTAGGTACTCACCGTCCCCTTTTCCCACGCAAAATACGAAAAACAATATAAGGAGCAGCCCTTTCATCTGAAGAGCCATTGCGGCCCGAATAAATATATCAGAGGGATAATATTTGCAGTTGGTCCCATCCCGGTTGTAAAGGGGTGTAAGTTATAGGTATACACCGTCCTTTAGGGGAGAAGGCATGACGCGCCCCCCAAGACGGGTACCGTCTTACTGACTGATACTCGGGTCCAATTCAGCATCACACTTCGTTATTGTCATATAAATTGCATTGGTGTCGAAACAATAAATATCAATTGCTGAATAGGATCAACGTTCCCGTTTATTATTAATAGTGTATAGACTTTTTTGGTAATCGATCATTTATTCATCGGTATTTTAAATAGATGTAAACATTTTAACCGAGTTAAAAAAAAGAAGGAATTTCTCTATGTTGGTACTATTATTATGCATATTTTCGTCTATAGTCAAACTAATTTTAATATTTTTTATATTATATGGCTATTTTATATATATAATAATAACTTTTAATTTCACCCTGGTATCATTAAAGTGAAAGTTGAATTATAAGGTAGGTGAGAAATAAGAACATTTATCGTTTAGATATGTCAATTATAAATAATGAGAAAAACATTTAGAATTGTTTTTATTTTGAAATATATTTATTTTCTAGAATTACGAATGAATTGTTTCTTGATCAAAATGTTTATTCTGAGGAAAGTTTGTTGATGTCTGGCTCAGGACACTTAGCTCAATTCAATTGGACGGTTCAATAATTAAGTCTTGTTATAAGTGCAGACACTTCCATTGTAAAATAGATTAAGATTAATCTCATTGTTAGATGTTGGCTTCAGGGATTATCATGTTTTGTGTTCTTATATCGTCTGTTGTTCATTCTATAAGAAAATTGACTTAGCAAAATAATATTTTAAAGTAATAGAGGTTGTGTTGTCTTAAGCATGACTGTACGATGTGTGATGAGCTTTAAATAGATTAATTATATTCAAAATACACTATTGCTATGTGTATTGTGTAATGTGCGTTTACATAAATAGAGCATCTCAAAAGCAGGATATAAAACATATAAACATAGGATAATAAAACGTTAATTTCATAGTACATACTTTCTTCGAAAATTTGCTCAATCTATACATATAATAAAATTACAACTAAGCCGCATTAAATATTTTTTGGAAAATCTTATTGAAATAAATATTATTATCGATACAGAGGCCGAATCTATAGCTTTTTTAGAATGTTTGTCTGTCTTTCTGTCTGTTACCGCATCACAGAATAACCACTGGAAGGATTCGGATGAAATTTGGTATGGTAATAGCTGGTTATCCGGGTCAACATATAGGATACTTTTAACCGCGGGAAAATGTCTCATTTTTGAGAAAAAATACAAAAATTGCAAGGTAAGAGTAGTTTTGGTCATCTGAACGCGGGCGGAGCCGCGGGCAATGCTAGTAATAAATAAAACCCGGTAGCGTAAAAACTTAAAATTCACTTGCGACAAGTGTGAATCATGTAGGTATGTATCCGACTTTATAAATACTATGTTTCTCCTTCAACTTTTTCCCACCTTTTAGTTCGCTTTTTAGTTTTTACGTACCTACCCGGGTATTTTATTTTTATAATTAAATTTTTCTTATCATCATTATTAGCAGTTTTTATTTTGATTTATTACAAACTAGCGACTCACCCTCGCTTCGCTCGGGTTCGTCCTTAGGTACGTTTTAAATTAAAATGGATATAGTATGTTTTCCTTAAGAGATAGACATATGCCATCGCGGACTTTTCTGTAGACCTATATAAGATACACAATTCCACCATACATTATTTTGTTATATTTCAAAGGGTTTAGGCAGCGTTTTCGTTGAAAGCTCCCAGACGTCTTATTTTTTCCGACACCTCCAACAAATATCGTTATATTTTAGCCAATGTATACAAAAACTTAACAAATTATATACTAAAACCTTCCTCTTGAATCACTCTATCTATTAAAAAAACCGCATCAAAATCCGTTGCGTAGTTTTAAAGATTTAAGCATACATAGGGATATATGGACAGCGAAAGCGACTTTGTTTTATACTATGTGGTGATAATATACACAAAATAAATGGCGTCATAATTATGCTACATTTTATATGCTATATATATATATATATATATATATATATATATATATATATATATATATAATAAAATTGTAATTAAGTCGAATCTGTACATTAAATATTTTTTGGAAAATCTAATTAAAATAGACATTGTTATCGATACAGCGTCCGAATCTATAGTTTTTAGAATTTTTGTCTGTCTGTCTCTGTTACCGCATCACGAGAAAACCACTGGACAAATTTTGATGAAATTTGGTATGATGATAGCTGGTTATCCGGGTCAACATATAGGATACTTTAGACCGCGGGAAAATATCTCATTTCTGAGAAAAAATACAAAAACTGCATTGTATGTTGCAAGAGTATATTAATATCTGAAACCTAAGAATTTGGTTTTTGGTCATCTGAACGCAGGCAGAGCCGCGGACAATGCTAGTATGCTATATTTTACATATATCATCATGATTTTCTGACTCACTCATTTGAGTTCTACGTCTATTTACGTTCTATAAATATAAAGAAAAACTTTATGATCGCTGACTGAAGTCGACGAAGGAGTTTTACAACTTACTTTAGAATATGTTATCTTAATGATATTATATCAAGTCTCTTCCACATTTGAGATAATAAGCGTTACGATCTAAAGTTAAAGATTTTCTAAGCCCTTTTCAAAGTTATAGAAATTACAGTAATTTTATAATGTTTATTTTAATAAATTTTTAAAAATATTTATCTTTACAACTTGTCTTACCTATAGTTTCTTATTCAATGCACATGCTCCATTATTACGTTACGTCTAATACATTGTTTATATAAATCAAAGATATTTTAAAGCTCAGCGTTTAAAAGTAAATGTCAGTTATATACAATAACCAGGTTTATTTAAGATTTTTTAGATTTGTTTTAGTTCGAGTTACGTTAAGGCTAAGTGAGTGAAGCAATAAAAAGTATATATAAAATAAACACATCCATTTTCCGTTGGTTAAAAATCTTTGTGGAGCTTTTCACAATTTGTTATACATATTAGATTAAGATTTAATAGAATTTTATTACTTAAGTTGGTACAAATTAAAGTTTGATTTAAAATCTTCTAGGCTTGACGATTTACTTCAAAACTCTAGGTAGTTGCTGTTAAATATTATATATTTTAAAAGATTTTATATTAAAAGATTGTTCTGAAACTCGATTAATAGATAGGTACGCGCTAGTGATGTAATGAATGTTCGATTTTTCACATTCGAATGAAAATATTAATCACCCATATTCGCGAATATGTATGCGAATGCGAATGTTGACTTTCAAATAAAACAGACCGGTTTTACGTTCCGTGTCGGCCATGTTTAAATCGAACATAGCCGAATCGATATAGGTTGAATGAATGAAATTAGTCACTTAAAGTTCAAAATTAAGTCAAATTAAAAAAAAAGATAAATTTAACTTTTTAAATTTAATTTAAGTTAAGTTTTTATATCACTTTGTCACTATTCTAGTGACAAAGTGATATAAAAACACGAGTAAAGCACAGTTATATTATCATTCCATATCCATTCATACCATATATAATTTCGTTAAATTGTTTGTCATATACACATGAACAATCGCATCGTTTCTTGCGAATACGAATTTTCGTTACATCACTAATACGCGCAATAGATTGAACTAAGTATGTACATATTTTACAACGAGAATAAGTTAAGAATTTTCATGATTTATTGTAAGAAGAAAAGAAGTTGTTGAACTTCAAATTTATTAATTTTGTATCGCTATAAAAAGTAAAAAGGTAGATAAAATTCTGTCAAGAGATAAAACTTTGAAGTGTATGTAACGAGTCTTACTTTGATGTTAAAACAGTTTATGCATTGGCAAGAACGCTTTGATAAAGATTTATCAGATTCATTCGCCAGCAAATGTATTGAAATGCTTTTGAATTTAAAAGAAATTATTTTCGTACTGTAATGTCAAATAAAATTATCTGTATAATTTATCAGAAGAACATTCTAACAAAGTGAACTTGTTGTTGGGACTCAATGGCACTATCAGTATGACTAGTACTCCTCACAATATACCGCAAAAGTCGCGAGTTTGATTCCTGCTGAGATTGTTTATTTTTTAAAATTTACTAATACTAGATGAAATAATTGAATAGGTACCTTATTTCGAATTCAATTTAATATAAAGAAGAAGTAGCGCCAGCACAGATCATATAATAGGATAAATCTGCAAGCAAAAATCAAATTTAGAAGAACTGGCATTTTTAATTTGGTTTTTGAAATTTTCTGTGAAATTCAATAAATTTGGATAAATAGACGTTGATGAACACGACGATTTAATCTGTATTATGTCTACTCATTCCATTTTGATTTACACTTCCAGTTATTGAAGTGCCTCCCTAATGTAGGTCAGCCTTGACACATTCTACTAAAGATATAGATCAACTTCATTTGAATAAGTTGCATATCTAATTATAATATGTATGTGGGTAAAGTTATGGCTATTAAGGCCATTCTTGTCCATTTAACAATTATGAAAGTATTGGGTTCCGTAGAATTAAACCTAATGTTTCGTGTATAATGTCTTGCCATTTAGATCGGTTGATCTCTGGATAGCTAATTTGTTTGCGAATTGTAAAACATTAAGCATTACATAAGACAGAATATATTCAAATAATTATAAATAATAGAATTATTTATTTAAAATGTAAGGAATATTTTTAATTAAAAAAAATATATATAATCACAAACACGCGTATATTAATGGTATTCGTATTATTTATTGACATTATTAAAGTAACACAGCAAAAAAAAACAAAAATAAGGTAGAGTACTCAGACAAAGGAATAATACAGATAGTGTCATAGAACTAAACATGAAGCCAAACAATATTTATAAAATAATGCAAATAATGTTTATAATAGTATACAAATAACAATTTGTATAATGATATTTGTATATGATAAGTAAATAAAATAAATAGCTAACGGAATTTGTTATAATTCAGAAAAAAATATATAACCTAAATAAAGAGAACTAATATTTAAAAAATACGAAAGAACAATTTTTTTTCTTTATTCATATTTTATTTTCAAAAACTTACTACAAATATACCCGTTGAGAATAGCAGCATAAACAGCTACTATTTTGACTTTGACATTAATTTTGGCGGACTCCGCCTTTACACGTATTATTTTAGTCTGAGGTAGAGACTAGAGAGTATTATCAAAAAATGAAAAGACTATTATAATTTACTTTTTATTATGTCTACATACTACTTACGTCCTACATAGATAGAAAAATATCTTTAGGCTATTTTAAATATAGATATTTATTCATATAGCAATAAAACCCGTCGTTTGTTAGGTTTCATGTCCTTCGAGCCAGTCCCTAAACACCCCACTCCAAGGTGCGTAGGTACAGTCTGCAAATATTATTATATTATTAAAACTAGTTACCTCCTCTCAGATATTCAGGTTTCTTGTGATGCTTTCCTTCACCGTAAGACTAGTAAGATAATCATGTTGAGAAATGATTTGCACGTGTAAGCTTAGAGCACCCGGGATTTGAACTTGTTTCACTTGTTTACACATCAATCACTAATAAAGTATAACATTGTCGTATACTAAGTAGAATAATAATAGTAAGAAAATGATGTATTACACTACCTTCCAAAAGTTTGTTGTGTATATTTAGAGATAAAAAAAGACCTTGATATGGATACGAATAGTTTATTTCATTCGGTTACTTTCTGTTTGATGTTCTCCGGGTGACTCTCCCTAAAAGTTTCTTCTTTTAATAGCGTCTCGTACAGTTTGGAAACTGTTGGGAACATTTTCAGGTCTAACTTATGTCTGTAAAGATGTATAAATCACGTATGTTATATTTAGGAACAATAATACGCGTAGGATGATTTAACTTTGGTATTATATAGGTACCTAAATTATTCTACACTAATGGCTCACCCTCGCTTCGCTTGGGTTCGCCTCTAGGCAAACAAAAACCAACATATCCCACGGGAACCCCAATTTAATTTTGAAGTTTTCCGGGATAAAAAGTATACTATGTGTTATTATAGACTTAAATCTATCTTTGTGCCAAATTTCATCCAGATCCGCTCAGCCGTTCTGGCGTGATAGAGTAACAAACATCCATCCATACAAGCAAACTTCACATTTATAATATTATTAAGTATAGATTCTAATCAATAAACGTACCTAAATAAAAGAAGTATATTTTCTTACAACCATAGTTGTGTAAAAGCTATTTTTTAATTTTGTTCATATGTATATACGAGTATGTACATAGCCATATATAGCAATTTATTAGTTAGGTCATCTGCATCATAAGGCAGGCAGCAAGCAAGGCAGCAAACTGCAGATAAGGGTCTGTGCAATATATTATGCTATATCAATCTAAACATGACATTTAGGTTTTAAGTACTTAGTTCTCTGTACTAAATGGGATTAATTAGTTATAAATGCTTACGTGAACTTGATGCTTATTTGAAAATTTCCTCATATATTTTAGAAATTAATGTACCTATAAGGAATACGATTCGAAATATATTGTGCTATATATGTAATTGTGCTCACGATGAAGATCCTAAAAATCATACGTGTTTGTTGCTATTAAAGCACGTAAAATGGAATGAATACACACATGATTTTCCTACACAAAGAGCTTTAACCAATTAAATTAAAGCCTTTTGATCACGTTCATTGTATCTGTTAAGCAATTGTTGAATTGGTATAAATTCACTTACAGAGATTGTAGTAACAATAATTGCCACAGGCTCACTGAAAGTATAAAAAAGTTTGCTAAGTACATTTTTTTTAGATATTAAAACCCCTCCAGGTAAATTTATAAGAAATTAATTAAAATTCTAAGAAATCTATTGCTAACTGATACGCCGGCGTGTCCGCGGTCGTGGAGGGATTAAAGAAGAAATATCACATAAATAAAAAGTTCGGCACTTCGAGACGTCTTCGTCCTAATTAATATTCCAATTATATTGTCGTCATGTCCTTCATAAGAGCGTGTATAATAGGCAAAGTCTCGCAAAAGGTCTATATATAAAAATCGGTGTGTGTTGAGTCTACAACGGTTGGAGCGATTTTGATGAAATTTTCAGGCAATCTTCAGATTAGTTCAGTAGATCCTGATAGATCCTGTGAAGTTTAGTAGTTAGAACGCGGTTGAAGCCGCGGGTGCTGCTAGTTTAATATAAGGTTTTACAAGTAAAGCTATTGAAATATAGTTTTATTGAACTCTTATAAGACAACAGATCCATAAATTCATACGAAGAAAGCCAAATAATAAATTATGCAATAAAACTATGACGGCGCTCTAATTGAAAAGTAGGTCTAACAGAATGCGACATGATGTGCCTTGTCTATATTTAGAATCAATTTAATTGTCTGGTTATTGACTTTTGAAATTTAAAAATGACAATATGCAATTTTTAAAACCAATCCACTATTTCACAACTTAATGACAAGTACCTAATGATGGTTGGCTAAATTTCCCAGAGGAAAAACGAAAATTTGATTTCATTTAAATATCACGAGTTGTAATACTACTGGGAATAGCTTAAGTCACAATATTCGTATACAAATTAATTTATATTAATTTGAAGAATTTTAAATTCATATTGGGAATACAATTTGTTCTGTAACTGAAGTATTTATGAGTCACCACGATACGTTTAATCTATACCTATAATAAAATTGTAACTAAGCTGAATCTGTACATTAAATATTTTTTGGAAAATCTTATTGAAATAAACATTATTATCGATACAGAGGCCGAATCTACAGTTTTTGGAATTTTTGTCTGTCTGTCTGTTACCGCATAACAGAAAAACCACTGAAGGGATTTTGATGAAATTTGGTATGGTGATAGCTGTCATCCGGGTCAACATATAGGAAACTTTTTACCGCAGGAAAATATCTCATTTCTGAAAAAAAATTACAAAAGCTGCAATGTAAGAGTATAATATCTACTAATATGTAAAACCTAAGAATTTGGTTTTTGGTCATCTGAACGCGGGTGGAGTCGCGGGCTATGTACTGTATAGTATTAATAAGCTAGTGATTTGGTTTGTTTGTTTGTTTGTTCCTTTTTCTTTTTTTTTCCTTTTTCTTTTTTGTTTTCCGGAAGTAACAGTCTGAAATGAAAAATCTTTATCGTTTTCCCGTACAAAATGCATGGGAAAAATTTTGGCGATTTCTGTCACTTCTAGTACTTATACCTTAAATGATCTCATAGAGTGTTTTGATCCCTATATGAAATAGGATCGATTGACATAAAAAAAATATTCGTATATCAGCATTTTTTTCGCTAACTGTACATTTTTTCCAAAATCTGTGAATGCAGTTCAAAATATCTCAAAAAGTTATGGATGGTCTCCTAATAACGTTTTCCTGTAACTATAGCAGTTAAGGTACCTGCCCTTACTGTCCCGTCTCAAAAATCCACCCTGTATATATATATAATATACTTATATACTATTTTTTTTTAATTTACCATATACCATATGTATATGTGTATATTGTATATGTGTAGGTATATCATATAATATGTTAAATTTTAACCACATGGTATAATGTATGTTTATCATATTCGGATTTAGGATCAAACCTGTTCTGAAATTTTAACAGCGAACTTCTATAATAATACTTACTTACCTTACCGCAAATAAGCGACTTTTTAAATTGACCACCAACACGAGGTGAGATAAAAGTGGCAAAGTTTGTACAAAAAAGTATATTTGGATGTGATATTAAAAAAAGAGTATTCGGCATCTAGTATTATTAGAAAAAAATATATAGAGTAGTGATAATGGTGTAACGAAAGCTCCCGATACATAAAAAATTTAGTATGAAAACAACTACAATAAAACTTCTTTTAAATGTACTCGTACTCTATCTATTTTAATAGCATAATAGAAAATACAACGTTAATAAAACTGTAGCGTAGTTGAATCTACAAGTATTAAATAGTCATTTACGGACATTCATTCTCATAAAATGCAATGAATATATTCATTTGTTTACTTTATATTCCATTGAAACAAAAATCTCAATTTATATCTATACCTGAACAATTCTCATAGCGTATGTACATACATATTACATATATTCATTTTTTTTTAGATTACTAGCGGCTTACCCTCGCTTCGCTCGGGTTCGTCGCTAGGTACGTTTTTAATAGATATAAATAGTTATTAACCAGCGTTAGTCATATAATATTTTTTTTCGTTAATTTTTCATTTTTTCTCTTTATTAAAACCATCCGTGGACCAGGAACATACGAAAAAAAAATTAGCCGAATTGGTCCAGCCATTCTTGAGTTATGCGCTTACCAACATTCGTTAAACGTTATGCGCTTACCAACATTCGTTAAACAGCTCGTTTAAGGTTCTACCGCCTGGGCACGAGTTTGGTCAAAAGTGGGTTAAGACAGACTTCAAACGTCTTTTGAAATTTTAAATAAGTCTTTTGAAATTTAGTTAGGTTTTCTCAGATATCGTGATGTATGTATGTAGTGTATGAGATTTGCACGTGAAAATCGTGAAAGAGGTGCGGAACCTGGATTTTGAATCAGTTATGTTCTTAAGTTTTCTAAAGCGAGCTTGGTCTAAAACGCTGCCGTCAAACTTTTGTTTATTTTATTCAAATAGTTATTAAATGCTGTATGGCCAAAACAGTTAATTATATTTGTAAATCAAAACGAAAACACCAACGAATCAGTTGTCCGTTACAATACTATCGAGGTAAATATTTGTCAAAGATTTAAACTATAATTATACTAGCAGAACCCGCGGCTTCGCTCGCGCTAAAACTATAAAAAAATCTTTAAAAATGTAGTTTTATACAAACTTTCATCCCTTATTTTATCCCCTTATAGAACGAATTTCGAAAAATATATAACACGTATTTATTTAATTTTATTGAAGAGCATTAATACCAAGTTTTAAGTAATTCTGATCATAAATATTTTTTGGATTGTATTATAAAGTGTTTTCCCGTGGGAGTTAGTTAATCTACTGCGGTAAAAAGTAGCCTATGTCACTCTCCAGCCCTACAACTACCTCACATAAAATCACGCAAATCCGTCACTCCGTTTCGACGTGAAAGAAGGACAAACAAACAAACACACTTTCACATTTATAACATTAGTAATAAACATTAGTATGGATTGCTAAGCAAAATATTGCTGTATTCGCTATGTTATTAAACTTAGTTGTTTTTATCTTTTTTATTCTTCATTAACATCTTCTTAACAATAGATAAGTTTTATTTAAATTAAATCAGCTGTTGTATATTAGTTTGAAAAATCGAACGTTTTCAATCCTTTTTTGGATATGGCATATATGTAATTCCGATTAGCACCAAATATATACAAAATATAATTTCATTACAATATGTTTATTAATGAAGAAGGCCAAGTAAACTAAAATTAATATAAACTAAAATACCTTGTAGAGGCATTGTACAATTGTGGTACAAGGCACAGGTCCGCCATAGTTAATCTGTCCCCAACACAGTATCGACCAGCTGATTTCTGTAGCAATTCCTCAAGGGTTTGCAAACCCCTCGCCGTCCAGTATCTAGTAAACTTCTTATAACGATCTTCAGTATCAAAATGAGCTCTTATACCTATATTCTGCAGCGGCTGAATACCAGACACTACTGTCTAAAAAGAAAATAACGCTTTCAATCATAACTTTTGTAAAAATGACAAAACCAGCGGAGTTTACTACTGGAAAAGTATGAAAATGTTATAGACTATCTTCTGTTTGCAATTTTACGTGTAACATTTCATATATAATGTACATATGTATATGTATAATGATACATTTGTGATTTATTAGTATGGAAATGCTAAAGCGGTAATTTAAACAACATACAGCGGGACAGTTAATAAATAATATTAATAAATATGTCAGGACATTAACACACGACACCATCTAGTTCCATGGTAAGCTACGAGGCTTGTGTTATGTATACCAGATAGTTGATACCTTATACATATATAACTTTAAATACACACATATTATAAATATAAACATCCATGACTGGAGTACAAACATTCGTGCTCATCACACAAATGAATGCCCCCAGCGGGACTCGAACCCGCGACCGCCGGCGACGCAAGTAGGGTCATTACAAACTGAGCCAAACGTGTTGTTAGTTAAGATAGTCAAATATTTATATAGATACATGTCCACACTGTAATGTCATTTACAATCGTTTTATTATAGTTGGTATAAAAATTAAAATTGTGCTTTGTTCATTTTATAAAATTTTCTTCTTAAATCTTAATTTTATAAAATATTATGTTTTTGCTTACTTCACATATTTCTCTCATGCGAGCTCTGTGTAGGGGTGTGTTAGGCTGTAGAGTGGGTTTGGGACGAGTGTCTTCTAGATATTGAAGTATAGCCATAGACTCAACAAGAGTTGCTCCATCTGTGTAAATGTTTATTTATTATTTTACAATGAAAAATAAGTAGGTAACAACTCAATGTAGCCACAGACCTACTATAAAAACTAAATCTGAAATTTCAATCTGATAGTGTATTTTTTAGTATAATATGCAATTTTAATTGTATTATTTATATTTATTATAAAATTATTTTTATGCTACAAACTACAAACCGATTTTAAATAGCTGAAAGTACAGAGTACAAATTGTCACCACAATTTCGTACAAGTGGCGAGGGCACTCTATAGATTTCTTTGAATTAATAGAAACAAACAAATATATAATAAACACAATAAAACAAACAATTTACTTTTTATTGTTATTATTAATACATAGTTTTTATATACTGAACATTTAAATATTTTTTGCAAATATTATAAAGAAATATTATTATAATTATGTATTTTATAATTATAACAATAAACAATTTCATTCGAAAGTTTCATGCAAGTTTCATCGAAATTCTCTATGAGAGGTTTTTTATCCACACTTATATTTAAACTAAATATTATTTAAATATATATATAATAAGAAATATATATATATATATATATATATATATATATATATATATATATATATATATATATATTTCTGATAAAAAGAGTAAGAAAAACGATTGATATTTATAGTTTTATAGTACCAGATACTTCAGAAAATCGAAGCGGAATTTTATTTGGCGTTACTACAAATGTCCTAAAAAGTCGAGTCATAATTTTATCGTAGATTTCCGATTCCATTTCGTTTTCAATTCGATGTCAAATTTCCATAATATAAGCAAGAAAATGTATGTATGTGATCGATTTTGAAATAAATTTAACATCAATCATTGATCTCTCAAAGATTTTGCAGGGTAATGAATATGAATTTTTATAAGCCTGGGGGCACAAAAGACATCTACAACAAAGCAGCGCGGAGTTTACATTCGCTGACAATAGACATTCAGAGTTTTCGGAAATAATTCCGTCTCATAATTAATAACTAACGTATTTTGGTTTAGTTAATAAGTTTCTTTTGAATCGTTTTCTTGTTTACCCTGAAAATAATATGTATGTGTACATCCGTGTGTAATAAACACAAGTGACCTAAATAGTTGTCAATTGAAGGAGCTTTTTCTATTAAATTCATTGGGCGTCACATTTCGTTGAATTGCGAAGTTATTGACCCACTCATTTAGTCGTTGGCGTCGCGTCGTGTTCAACTCGAATTGTAGTTTGATTGTCAAAATCAGTTCTATGTATAATTTATTACGCATTATGTCGAAATTTATTGCTTAAATCTTTTTAAGATATTTAGTACTAAAATTATAACTAACTAGCAGAAGCCACGGCTTCGTTCGCGCTAAAACTACAGAAAAACTCTAAAAAATAGGTTTTATACAAACTTTCACCTCCTATTTTTTCCCCTTATGAGATGAATTTCGACAAACGATAAAAGACGTATTTATTTAATTGTATTGAATAGCATTAATACCTACCAAGTTCCAAGTAATTATGATCATAAATAATTTTGGGTTGTATTATAACGTGTTTTCCCGTGAGAATGAGATTATCTCCCGCGGTAAAAAGTAGCCGTCACTCTCCAGCCCTCTAACTATCTCCGCACAAAAAATCATGTCAATCCGTCACTCCGTTTCGACTTAAAAGAAAGACTAACAAATACACTTTCACACTTATTATATTAATTATGGTACCTAGTTTGGATTATGTTTACCAGATAAATATTATATTTATTATTTAAATAATGTTGTAGTACAGTGTTATCTGCGCACTGCAACTGTGACTTTACGCTTAAACCACTGAACAGATATCGATGAAATTTGCCAAGAACATAGATTGCATCTTTGAGCTTACAAAAGTCAAAAGCTACCTATAATCTTCGCAAGTCCTCGTCCTATAATTCGCTCCCGCGAACAAAGCCGAATGCAAAAACATGCTTGCTATAAATATATTGTATCTTTCTACTGTACATACTACATACATATGTATATAGGTATTTGGCAAAATAAGTAATTTATATTGCAAACAAGAGTCGTTACTGCTGAACCAAATCTATTTTAAATCGCGATAACACGTATGAAGTGCACTCGTGGGGTTTTGATGGGCTATTAGGCTATGACAACATACAATTCATCGAACGAAGCCCTCATGCTAATTACTCCAATAACCGAGTATTGTTTAGTAATTTGATCGCGAGATGCGTGAATAATTAACTGTGATGAGATTATCACGTTGATTCTCCTAATCTAAGTATTGTATGGAGAGCCTGAGGATCTACCTAACTGCTGAAATGGAATATCGGCATAATCTATACAGATAAATAAAATTGACAGTCTGTTATTGTCAAAATAATAACTTTATACTTTAAATGCATATAAAAGTATATACGGCACTAATATGAAAAAAAAATTTGCCTGTCTGTTTGTTCCAGATTATTTCCGAAACGGCTGGACCAATTTTGACGGGACTTTCACGGGCACATAGCTGATGTTTATTTATTTATTTCTTGGTAATCTTACAGCGTTATAAGGTTGTAAGGAGTAACTTAGGCTACTTTTATTTTAGAAAGAGAATCAGAAAAAAAAACAAAATCCATGAAATTGTGAATAAAATCAGCGTACATAGGGACGAAGTCGCTAGTTTGCAATAAAAATAAATCTAGTAATAGTCGACTCAAAAATATTTCATAACAAAATACGTACAATTCCTCCACAATATGAAGAATTTGGGAAATACGTACGATTTTATTTCATGTTTAGAGGTAAACAGCTTGTGTTATCATAAATTTTTTATTTCTTACGGAATATTGGAAGGAATTATGTGTAGTTTACTTTTATTTTTATAGTTGTGTAGAATGCAGGGGTTCAAATTTATTGTTTGTATGTTAATTAATAATATTTTTCGTTTAATACATGCTATATGTATATTTTTATTATTTAAAATCAATTCTTTTATATTATGTGGAAAATTTTATTTTTGTTTAATAGCTAAGTTACTATTTCTTATTAATCATTTTAAGAGATACCTGTAGGTAGATATTTTATGAATATTAAAGTCACCGCACCCTATGTTTATTTACTCTTTTTATACCTAAATCTTATAATAAATTATGACTGTAGTATGAAAAATTACTGCTTAGCATGCGATGAAAAGACTGCGAATATTCCGAAGCCTGCTAAATCAGTTAACAGATATTTTATATTCTGTTAAAAAACATTTACACAAGTACTCGCTGTCAATGCAATGCTAATATTATTATCATATGTAAAAACTCGAAATTGATATCGGAATTTCATTTCGGTGCTCTCGCACGTAATCAGGTTTTATCGCAAAACGATTTTCGTGAGAAGGAAGTTATTATTCAACCTGCCTTTGGGAATTACCCTTGGGTCTAGCGGATGTTTGACATATTTTATGTCACTTGATAGTGCCACGATATTGATGTATCAAAATTTATTTTATTAGGCCTTAAAATGATTTTTTATGGGTAAGTTACGCGTGACCACTACGATAATGCCAGTCTAGGTATCCTACTAATATTTTATTATCCTTTATAGTTTACTTTTACTGTAAAGTATACTGTATATCGCTAGGCAGCTTTGATAAAATGAATTCTCACTTATAGTTTGTGATTTAAATATACCTATTTTATATTGAGATTTGAGCTTTGATTTATTTATATGTAGGATACTAAAGTACAAAAAAGTTATGTATAAAAATTGACTGTCTGTCTGTTTCCGGCAAATGTCTAGATTGGAAACTTAATTGATTTTTATGAGACTTACTTGATGATAGAGGACTTCGTCGAGAATGACTTAGGTTACTTTTAATCCAGGGAAAGTGTTTCCGGAGAATAGATAGAATAGTAGTAGCTTGAACCATTTTATCATGGCTTTCACTGACGGATACCGGGATTGGGTGAGCTACTTCGTATTATGTTAAAATAAAAGGATTCTTGCAGGATAGGAGATATACGTTCCCTGAAAGCGCAGGACGCTTACGGTAGCATGAAGGCCGAAAATAAATGTCAGGTCGTAATCCTAAATCGATAAATTCAAAATTTATTAACCATGACATAGACACTGAACAATAACTCTAGGTTAGGTCTAGCTTTTGTTAGTTTTTTTTAATGTAGGTATGTGTAATGGTGGTGGGAATTTAACTTTAATTTAAAACTTTAGAGTAATTGAATTTGATGGAGTACCTAACTAATTTTTATAGGCACAAAATTTTACAATCATACTTACCAATAACTAGTGCGGGCACTTTTTGCGATGGATTAATACTCTTGTACTCATCAGTAAGGTGTTTACATTCTCGGATTATATCCACACGTCTTTCTTCGAAAGGTACACCTTTTAAAATTAAAGCAGCTCTCACTCGCCAACTACACGATGACAGCCAGAAACCGTATAGTAAAGCTCGACCTTCAGCCTTTGAATATAACGTTTTGTGCTATGTATATTGTTTTATTTACTAATTTTGATATATAAATGAGAGCAGTTAATATAAATCTTATTACACTTGTGATATTTAATTAAATGTCCTTGTTTTTGTTATTGTATTGCACATGAGACTATCTTATTATTAGTTTACCTAATTTATTTTCCCACAGTACCTAATTTAAATTTGGTATTTTATTATGTAAAACTGGACTTAAAATGTGGCATGTTTTTAATGTAAATTTATACCAATAAAAAATCATTTCGAATTTAAATGGAGAGAAAGTTTAAGTACCTATTAAAAATAAATAATAAGTAACTTAGTTCTCAAATTAACCTATAAAGTTACTTACGGCCATGACTTTTTTTATATCACTCAATATAAATTAGTATTCATCATATATATTTTCATTCTACGAATAAAACACTCTCTTGTTAACTAAAAATAATTGTATAATCATTAATCAACCAATAAAGTGGATAAAGTGTTTTGACTTTTGACGTAAGTCGTAAACACTACAGTAGTCAACATTGATAATTAAAGTGACTTTCGAGTTTCGTATTGATAAAAATAGATGGCGCTAAAAGTAGGCAGCCATGTTGTATTCCATAGACAAAATAAAATTTGATAACAGGAAAATTAAAAAAAAACTTGATATATGGCGTTTATTTACATTTATTAGACGATAGTTAGGGAAGTTTTTATATAATATATTATCATCTTTAGTAACACAGTTTCTCTAATATATATTAAGATTATATAGGTAGGTATACATAGACTACAGTTAGGTCATTTTTCTCTAATTTGTAAGGTTTTTTAACATTTCTACTGTTCTATTATTTATTATATATATAATATATTATGCAAACAAAAACTTTAAACGAAGCACACAGATTATAATTTAAATTAATATTTCAATTATTTACTTTAAATATTATCTGGAAATATATGTATAGGAACTGAAATAAAGTAGGTACTAGTTTTCTTACTACATATTTATTGCTAGTAGCTAGGTAAGTATTGTTTTTAAAATATATATATTAATTATTTATTTTTTATGTTAATAGCATAGATCCTTACATAAATATCATAAGTATACGAGTAGAATAAATATTTAGGGTACCAAAACTCCTTAATTTTAATTCTAAAATAACTATCGCTCTTTTAGTATTATTAGTAAAACCTTCATAAATGAATATACAAAAATTTTAATAAAGTAAAGAAAAATAATTATATTTAGTAAATGAATATATCTAATACGAATATTGGTCACATTATTGTACTATTCAGCGCCTTAACGATGCCTACTTATGTTACAGAAACGTTGTAAACAAAAATATCGAATATTTAAGATATTAAATAGAAGAATCCTAAAGAAGTAAATTATTCAGATGTTATTTTTATTACATATCAGCAAAATTTCAAGAATAGAGGATAAATAGAGATGTCCGCGGTCAACCCCATCGTAAAGGAGATCCAGGTGGTCGCATCATAGTAGCCCTCGTCTCTGCAGTCAGTGTACCACCTCCGTCTTCTGGTAGACCGTAGAACGCGTACATGTGCCTGCGGTGGTGGAGCTCATGACCTCTGTGTGACAGGCTTTGCAAACGGCTCCATAAAGAAAATATTCTCTTTTTCACAGTTTTCTTTTCGTTCGATGAGTTCTCTAAAACAAAATATTAATGTGATTATCTTTTAAATTATTAATAATATCAGGGGTTTATTTCTACTATAAATATGTGCCTAATGCGTAGGCTAAATAGGCATTTTGATAGTATGTATTTTTGGACAGATATATAAAAAACCACATAGCACTCTTTATATATAGTTTATATATTATTCATTGCATATTTTGTGACATTACACCTCTATATAAAATCAACTATTTTTAGTTTATATAAAAAGTTAAGAAAGTTTATTAAAAATAGTTCGATGTTTAAGTTGGCTTTTACTATTTAACTAATTTTATTGCACTAAATTCGGAATTCTATTTCCATTCAGAAGCTTATTCATATATGTTTGTACTTTATGTTTAGTCGTTACAGCAGAAGGAAGTTTAATATTACGCACATTTACACAAGTTTTCATATTTCAAGCAAGAAAAAAAGGGTTCTTCAGAGTAAGGCGTAGCTCCCGCCTTAGCCAGTTCAACTCTAGGAAAAACTACTTTTGACTAAAGAGGTTGGTTAAAAGTAGTTTTGACTAAAAAAAAGGTTTTGACTGTAACATATGTACTGCAGATATTGTTTTACAAAGCTTTTACAAATATTAATATTACCTACCTAAAAATTGTATATCTGCATTCGTGAGTTTTCCATTCCTTTTTATCTTTACAATAGATTTATCATCATTATCAAGTAATGCATTTTCTTCACTGGTCATTTCGTCATTTTGTGATGTCAAATCTAATGGATCCGAATGGCTGTAAATGTATTTGTTGGAATCGTGGTTATTTAAATTACTAGTTAAATACGCTAGTCGTATCTTTAAGATTAAAAGTGGACCAGCTATTACATCTGGGCCAAAGTTGCTAAGAATATCATCGCTCGAGTATTGATAGACATCATGTCGAGTTTTATCTACACGTTTTGGTCGTTCTAAGTCGTTAGTATCGATAATCTTTTCAAGTATCTTATAAATATATAAATTTTTATGAAGTCGATCTAACTGCCTCGGGTAATTGTGCCACTGCTCTTTTCGAAAGCCCTCATCATCATAATTATCTTCATTTTCGATTAGCCCATTGAATGTCCTTCTGTCTGGGTTATTGTCTTTCTCTAAATATTTAAGTCGAGATCCTTGAGATTTCTTCGGTAAATTATCTTTTGATGTTCCAATAAAAACTTTATAAAATATATTGGGATTTATACGAGTTTGTCTGTTATTAAAAGTATTGTCACTATCTTGGTCGTCCAATAAGGAATCTGAGTCTACTTTGTTAATTAGTATTGGAAGTACATTACTTGAGGATAGTGTGATTGTCGTCAGGAGAACTAGTGGAAGCAGATACTGACGCGTCTGAAACAAAGAAAATATAAATTGTCAATCTAGTATTATATATACCTACGTAAAAAGGAATATTATATAATATATTTTTAGTGATTATTTATTTTATTACAATTTGTTAGTATGAGTATGATGGTCTTAAACCCAAAGCCTTATTTTTCTGAACACTGGAAATGACCAAAACCATTATTAGATTATTTCTTTTATATATACATAATAAAAACGCAAACGAAAAAGTCATTCGCCATCATCAAATTCCATTTATAATTTTATGTATTATATTAATGTATGTAACAAAAACTCAACATTTATTGGCTAAGTTAAAAGTTGACGGAAAATGTTGACCGTTTTTATTCGATTGACCTTTCCTTCCTTGTCCTTTTCCTTTTCGGAACCAATTATAGGACCCCATAAGAGGACTTGTGGATTCTCTCGGACGATCGCCAAGCCATGAAACGCACAGGGAGGTGGCCCACTTGGCGGGCGGTGGGAAGTGGCCCTCTTCGAAAGGGCGGTGTACCATGCGGGTTGCTCCTGGTACTTCTATGATCAGTGGACCTTAGAGCAACCCCGTGGTTGTTGTGGTCTGCTTCGGCAGACCTGCCGTCGGGGCGTCGTAGTTGAATGCGTAAGCGATCCTGCGATGCCCCATTAAGACGGGGGAAGGCTTTGTTGGGTTTTAGTGGGTAGTACTGGCTTTGCCGGTGAGTCCCACACCTCGTGCGTAAATGCATTTCCCAACGTTAAAAAAAAAAGAATGGCCAAGGCCCATCTTACTGAAACTACTCGTAGCTAAGAGTCTAGAATATATTATAGTGCACAGGTATGCGCGCAGATAAAAAGATAAAAATGATAGTGTGCTTGTGCACTCTCATTTCATATTATGCATATTTGTACACTATACTATCTCCTGCGCATATCGCTAGTGGACCTAGTCCAAAGAATATTCTGAGAGATGTAAGTAATGCGACTGTAATTCGAGACCACGACAGGTCTAGTTAGAATAGAAAAAGCCTTATTTAAGACACATACATATGCACTATTGTCTACTGCACTAGTGTCCCAAGCGAGAGTGTTACCACTGGGCTACCACTGCCACATCCAACCACAAACGACAACCCCCAGACTAACGCTGATTTTCAGACACCGCTTAAAAGGTAGCCTACCAAAATAGCACGTAGGTACATTAATATCAGTAAATAAAACATGTCTAGTTTATTTAGAGCAAAATTTTATCTTTTACTAAAGTAAAATGTTACTTGTAACGTTGTTTTCTTAATAATTAAATAGAATAGGAAAGTGTAAGGATGAATCGATTTGATTAAGAATTAGCGGCACGAACGACAGACAGGGCAGAACTAGAACACGATAAAGGTTATTAATGGGTTGAAAAGCTATTATTGACGACGGCATGCTACTCACGGACTACGATAAATATTAAGGCTTGTTTTTTTACTAAATATTATTTACTTATTTCATACTGGGGAATTCATTTGTGTGATGAGCACGAATGTTTGTACTCCAGTCATGGGTGTTTATATTTACTAGAGTTCGCAGAGTGGTCGAACTTCGACCATGATTATTATTGATTTTTTTATTTATAAAACTAAAGCTCGTCAATTTAGCTATACATAATTCTGAATTAACCAGACTTTTACAATTAATGTTTTTTTTATTGATTTAATGAAAATATTTTGCATAATTTGTAAAAAATATTAGTATTTTACAATCCTTCCCTATATCCATACTAATATTATAGATGTGAAAGTGTGTTTGTTTATTTGTTTGTTTGTTTGTTTGTTTGTTTGTTTGTTTGTTTGTTTGTTTGTCTCTCTTTCACGTCCAAAAGGAGTGACAGATTGACGTGATTATTTTTGTGTGGAGATAGTTGGACTTTTTACCGCGGGAGATAATCTCATTCCCAAGGGAAAACACGTTATAATATAACCCAAAAATTATTTATAATCAGAATTACTTGAAACTCGGTATTAATGCTCTTCAATACAATTAAATAAAGACGTGTAAAATAGCCTAGGGGGTGAAAGTTTATATGAAACCTATGTTTTAGAGTTTTTCTGTTTTAGCGCGAGCGAGCGTTCTGCTAGTAAACTATAAGTGTGGGAAATTTCATACTCCTTCGTTCGCGCAATTTTTGTAAAAAGGGGTACAAAGTTTTTGCTTCACGTATGAATATATACTTAGATAATATGTGTGTTTAAAGTTATATATGTGTATTATATATATACTATCTCGTGACCATAATATAAGCCTCGTAGCTTATCATGGAGCTAGTTGGTGCTGTGTGTTAATGTCCCAAAATATTTATATTTTTATTTATTTATACTTGTGACTTAGCCTTGCTTCACTTTACATAGTGCGCCCCAAGGTACTCGTATATTTTAAATAACAATTGCATCACATAATAGGTAGGTATTTTCATAGATGTACGACAACGAAATATTTGACATTTTAAATAAAACTATCTTTTTGGATATTTTCGCGGATTTATTTTGATATTTGTCTTTCTCGTAACCATGATTGCTGTAATGCGTTCGAAACCTCGGAGAGCACAAAATGAAATAAATCCGCGAAAAAATCAGAAAATATACTTTTATTTAATAAAATATGTAGTTATTGTGAGTCTAATAAATTAGGAAATAGTGTATGCTATCGTGGACTTTTTGTAGGCTTTTTAAGACCTATAGTTTCTTGCATATTGTTTTGATGTATCCTCCAGAATAAAAGAGGTAAACAAAGGTACGAAAAAGTTTTTTTGATAAACCATTTATATTTTATACACAAACCTTTGATTGATACGAACGTTACATTGTACAGCATCCTTAACTTCAAGTCAAAACTTTTTCAAAATATTTTATTTATTATTCATCATTATCTTTACTACTACACCACTTATAAATATGTAGATCCATTTTTAACCGAAATAAAAAAATAGAGAAGGAATATTTTTACTTTTGTTAACTTGATCTTATTAGTTTTTTAAATTTTGTGTGTAGTATATACTAACTATAAAGATAAGTTACTGTAGTCACTGTACCTCATTTTTCTTTCAGATATTCTATGAGAAATGCTATCAAGAAAAGGGACGAGGTGACTTTTTCATCTTCAAAATTGTAGGAGAAATACGCCATAATGATTTAAATAGGTTGGTTGGATATATTTTTTTTTTAATTTGAAGTTATTTAGATATGAAAACGGTAATTTACTCTTGCTATAACGACTAAACCAGACCTGCCACAGCTGTGAAATATTTAAAGGCCGCCATAAAATCCGAGTAATGCATTGTAACCGTAACCTGGTTTTATTGCTAAAAATCTGAAATAGCACAGTCATGTGTCAGATACAGATTTACGTTTTACAGTAATAAACTTATTTATACGATACATTTATAAATAACTAGCGACTCACCCTCGCTTCGCTCGAGTTCATCCCTAGGTACGTTTTGACGGTTAGTATGAAATACAAATTTTTGAATTTCTCGGCTTTTCTGTATATATGCATGTATTGTACATAGAAGCCTTCCTCTTGAATTACTCTATCTATTGCTGAAAACTGCCTTAAAAACCGGTAAGTAGTTTGAAAGATCTAAGCGAACAGACAGCAGAAGCGACTTCATTTTATACTAAATAAATTATTTATTATTAACGTTTTATACATTACTAGCGGACCCGACAGACGTTGTCCTGTCTACACGTCTTTAATTTGAAAATTTCAAACTTTTTTTTAAATTTTTTTGATGAAAATTATTATTCAAATTGTGAATCTAAACCATTCCCAGATCCCCTTGAACAGACACAAAAATTTCATCAAAATCGGTCCAGTCGTTTGAGAGAAGTTCAGTGACATACACACTCACAGAAGAATTATATATATAAAGATATATATATATATATATATATATATATATATATATATATATTTATACTAATAAAGATGCCTAAATTCTAATTTCAACAGAAAATTAAAAAACTTTAACTGAAAACAAGATTTTTTGTAAATTATAGAAGTGTAGGAACGTACTACAAGTACCACACACACCAATACAAATACACTGTATTTTGAATTTAAGCATCTTTTCCGAGTTTGGTGGCTTTTCGCCTTGTTTTGAACTTTAACTATGGACAGAAGTGATAAAGATGTTAAAATCATTTTTTTTACCCGACTGCGCCAGAAGGAGGTTGAGAGGTGTCGTTAGATTCGTCTTAAATGTGAGAGTGACACTGGCAAAATTATAAAAATTATAATGGCCGATTTTTGGTGCCATATTATATCTATAATTTTTTTTCTTCAAAACCTATCGAGTGGGGTAAAAATGCCAAGTTGTGCGTGAATATTTTCTTTTTGTTTTTGTAAACGCTAATTCATTATTATTCGATTTCGTTAAAAGCTCGTAAATTGCCTCTTTATTGGAAGCTTAAATATACAAGACTAGCAGTAGCGACTTACCTTTGCTTCGTTTCGGGTTCGTCAAGACAAAAACAAAACAATCCCACGGGAACGAACTGGAAAAGTGATAAGTCATATGTGCTTTAAAGTCATAAATAACTTTCTTTTTTTTTCTTTATGGCTTAGAGTTGCGTTAACAGACGCAATTCATTCTGCCAGTGTCACGTTTTGTGAGGAAGACACATAAATAACTTTAATTCAGTCTAGTTTGTTTAACTGTCAATTATTTCAAGAATTACTTTAAATTATATTTATCATCTGTAGGAAATTAAGTAATGTTGCAGCAAAATCACGCCCCAAGTAATTTACCGAGACCTACTTCTTTGTTAACGACAGCCTTTGTTAATAAATGCGGAAATGTCTGTCCCAAATACGATGCAACCTTTTAACGTAGACAAATTACTGACGTCAGGAAGTGGCGCGGGGACCCTAAACTTTCGTCATTGTGACGGTCTAGGGGTTGTTAATACTCTTCATTTCACCTTATTTATTATCAAAACAAATGGATAAATTGTATTTTTACGTTGGTTACCTAGTAAGCTATCAAA